ACTTTCTGGCTCACCGCAAAAAAACGATTGCTATATTACCCAAGCATCAAGGAGAATGCAGGGATTGGTTTTCCACGCGCCGCACGTGCTGACCTCAGCAGTATTAACTTGTATAAAGCAAATACAGTGCCCCTCCCCCCCCCCCCCCCCCCCCCTTAAAACCAGGCTATGTAACGTCCATGAAAAATGACCGCATCTCCACGTGGTGAATGATGTTGATTGGGGCGAAGCTCTGGAGGTGCTGATCATACTGATTTTGTTCACAGGTAGTGCTTTCCAGCAGCTTCTCGCGCCCTGGTCTCCGGAGCAGCTTGCTGTCTGCGTAGACGCTGAGAAGCAGCACGCCGACCTTTTCGTTCGTTTTCATCCATGTTAGAAAGAGAATTTGTAGTATGGAACGTGGTTATATACGCATTTGAGCATTTGACCGCAGCGCCCTCTCGTCTCTCAACGTTGAGCCAATGCATGCAAAGTTTGACGCGCTTATATACGCCCTTTCCTGCATAGACGTTGAGCGGCTAAATGCAACGTTTCATCCATGACATCTCCAGCTCTCTAGTTACTACCACATCTCGGAGCCCCCCTACTCGTCCCACAGTCATGGCCGAGTGGTTAAGGCGATGGACTAGAAATCCATTGGGGTCTCCCCGCACAGGTTCGAATCCTTTCGACTGCGCAAACATTTTTTTTTTCTTTTTTTTTAAGACAGATGGAATGGCAATCGACGTGGGCACGGACGCCGGACGGACATGGCTAGACCGTAAGGAGCTTCGCCCCTAAAAGCGCCAATCAGAGGGCTGAAATAAACGTGTTGACTTATTCTGCGAGCTTTTCCAAATACGCATCCTCGATAACCCGCAGCCGTATCAGTCGTATCTCGACGAAACTGGACTCCTCGCTCTGCTGTTTCGTGGCAGTGCTGCGCTGCGCAAGGAGAAGCACCCTTCTCGGGAACGGGAAAGCGAAACTGCAAAAGAGCCTCCACGCGCAGTGCCTAACGCGCCGACGCGGTATACTGGGCCAGCAACACCACCTAGATGACAAGGCCTGCGCGTGACTTCATCGTTAGTCGATACCCGATCCGCTCCGAGCGGCAAACACGCTGAAGCTCCGCGAGAACCGCCGCAAACGGCAGGCGCGTTCGTCTTGGCGCCGCCCATGCTCACGCAGCTCCGGTTGCGCGACGCTGCAAAGCGCGCGTTCTGGCGAGGATGCTGACGTATAAGCTAGGCGGTGCCGCGTGGATTCACAAGTGATGGCACATGGGCCTTGTCTTCTGGGTGGTGTTGATTAACCACTGAGTGGAGCCTCGTTGTTGTGGGCGTCAAATCATAAAAAAAAGGACATTGACGGGAGGCTCAAGAAAAAGAAAAAGGACGACCCGAGGGTTTCCTTTGAGGACTCGTCGCCGTTGCAACACTACGAACAAACACCAACTGACACCGCAACGTCATGGGCGTGACATGATCATTGGGGCTAGATCCCCACACGCGGACGCGAAAGAGCTGGCACCGCGGCTGGACCCTTATGCGTTTGAAAAATGAGCAGTGTCTTGACATTATATCATGACGTAAAGAAAAAAGAAAACAGTATTAAAACGCCTCAATGACCTATTTAAGGGACACTCAGCCCCATCCACGCCCCCCCCCCCCTCCCCCCCCCCCCCCCCCCCCCCCCCCCAATAATTTGTTTTTTATGCGCTTGGATACAACACGTTGTGAAAAGCCGCCATTTCTTGAACACTAAGGCCGTGTTCCAAAATTTATTCGATCTTACCCCAGGGTAGGGGTTTTGTACCTTGGGGTTCAAAAAACCTATCCGCGCCCAGCGTTTTTCAGTCTTTGCTGTCACGTGACACGACTCGCCGGAGTAACTCGGATCCATTTGGATAAGATTTGGAACACAGCCCAAGCGTGCGACTGGGTCAGGGTCCTTCCCGAACACTAACGCAGCACTGGTTCTCGGTGCCAGCTGAGCAGAGTTCACACGTCAAACGCTCAGCATTTGACGTGTAAACTCTGCACAGCAAAAAAAAAAAAAAAAGAAAAAAGGCGGACTGTTTTGATTGTAGCAGCAGATGCTAGATTTGGCACAAACTCAATCCAAAAAAGTACTACACTCAATACTGAATACTACGCAACATTTTTTTTGTTCAATATATTAATTTGTATGGCCTATTTTGACGACGGTGTACAAATCTTTGATTGAAATATGCAGGAAAGACAAACATTTTGAGGGTTAACTCGTGAATAAAGTATTTGTAGCTGGCGCCCGCGGGAGCCGCCGCTGGTCACGTGGTAGGCCTGTACGCCGCCGCCGCCGTCATCTGACCGGCGCACAGATCACGTCTGCTTGCGCTTTTTTAGGAGCTTCCCTTGGGCTCTAAAGGTTACTTATTAATCTTCCTTTTGTGCTGCACTTCAAACGAAGATGAACAAGTAACTTTTAGAAGAGCGCAAGCGCCACGTGATAAATAGCGGCCACTTTTACGCGGGCGCCAACTGCAAATATTTTTAATTAAGGAAAAAGACAAAACTCAACTGCTCGAAACACAAGCACGGAAGTTCACGGCCGGTAGTCACGTAACTAACACCCAACCGCGTTTTCTTTTTTTTTTCTTTGTTTGGCATGCGAAGCAGACGACAACGCGTAGTTGCGTCTACAGATTGTCGTGCGATGTTTTCGCACTTATATTCCTTCCGCTCGATGTTCTGCGCTCGAAGAACGACTAGTCGGCACCACGAACGACAGTTCCGAAGTAGCGGCACCACGTCCGTCGCAACCTTGGTCCGTTTTCAGGCGGAAAGAAAACGAATTTTGAGCCGAAAATTGTGTTCAGAGTACCTCGACTCTTATAGGTCATGTTTAAATTAAAATCATTGCGAGCTCAGTGTCCCTTTAACCCGTCAAAAATATTTTATGTATTTCAAGTATTTTTTAAAATTAAAGGGTTAAAGGGTTAAACCCACGAAAAAGAAGAGAAAAAAAAGCGATGCGAGTAAAAGGGAACTCCACCTCGCGGACACAGATAGCCTTAGTGAAAAATATTTTGTATAAGGAATTTCCTGGTCCAATAAACGCATATGATAAATAAGATCACATAAGAACCGTATAAGAGCATATAAGATTCCATAAGAAGATAGAAGAAACATAACGTTTCTTATAACTTCTTATAAAATCTTATATTGCTCTTATATGATCTTATTTGACCATATGCATTCATTGGACCAAGAAATGTCTTATACAAATAAGATCTTTCAGTAGGGACGAGACCTTGTACAATGCCATGTGCCACATTGAGATAAAGACAAATTCCACAAACTCTCGCTAACGTCAGTGTTTATTTACACACATTAGTTCCTACAAACAAGCATTTTGGGAAAAAAAAAGGAAAAAACGGTGCAACAATCTTCACGTCGGCTCGTCAAAATAAAACCGCGCATGTATATATATATTTTTTTTCTCCTTTCAAAAAGGGCAGCTTTCGTGCGAGTTTCACCTGACTAGCGTGCATGTCGACAAACTTCGACCGTGAAAGTAACAAGGTGAAATTCTTTTTGGCATGCGTGTCGCCGCAAAGCACGTCTGCTCGCGCACACGCTGTCGACGACGTCGCGGATTAAAAACCACCGGGGTGCTGATTGGCAGGAAGTAGACAAAGTTCCGAGGTGTTGGGCAGCTGACGGCATGATCGGCCAATCGAGCATTCCACCAGTCAAGGCTCCGATAACCGAACAGGCAATGGTCTCGCCAGGCAAAGGTGTGGCCAGCCGAATTTGACCAACCAATAGCTCAAAGGCCTTTGGCCACATGTAACGGTTTGACTATCTTGGCTTCAAGCCACCCGTCCGGTCGGGTCGGCTCGACGAAGGCACTGTGGCCAGGTGAGGGCAGGAAACATTTCAGGTGCATTTGTGAGCCTCTGGGATTGAGGTCCCTACAGCCTGTTGCAGGTTAAGAAAGGCAGGACAGACTTCTCCTCTCCCCCCCCCCCCCAAAGCCCTCTGCTCTTTCCATTTTAGCATAGTGAATGCTGGAGACAAGAAAACCACCAATCAGGGTGAGCAGAGAGCTTAGTCCTGCTATTCTGAACCTGCGAGGTTACAGCCTTGAGGCACGTGCGAGAAAAGGGCATGTTCCTTCCCGGAAAGGACGTTTGAACTGACTGTGTGCCACTCGACCTGAACTAACGTCAAAGCGGTGAGGATATAGCAAATAGACCCTGTGCGTGCGACGGCCGGATATGTTGCCGTGGAGATTAACAAACAAAAATGACGCCGTAAATGTATTTGCCCAACAAGCTTCACGCCGAGTTCCTTCCGGAACGCTGCGATAAAATAGTAACCCTTTGCAAAAGGGAACACCAAAGGTGACTGAGGAAGGAAGAAGCGCTCATCAAACATGTTAAATAAAGGCCCACGAGTGATCAGGGGAACCATCGAAAGTGCAGACTCGACGTCAAAAGTTAGCAACTGAGGAACACCGTAACAAATAAAAACCACAAACATAAAAACAAACATTTGGGTGCTGCCTCAAATGTAGCAAACCTTTTTTTCAAAATCAAATGCCCTTCTGGAGCACTAGGCTCCATAACCCCCCAAACCCGTCTCCCACCTCAACGACAAAAGCGACGCAAATCGCCAATGGCAGCGTCTCAAAGTGGCGGGAGGTTATGTCTCCTGAAAAAAGGGGCTTATTAAAGCTGCCCACGAAGTCCCAGAAACGGGAAACAGCGAGAGCTGTGTGCACGTCTGTTAGCAGACAATGTTTGTTTGTTAGCAGGCGACGTCCGTTTGCTAGAAGACAAGGTCCGACTTTTGGCAGACGACGTCAGACTGCTAGCAGACGACGTTCGTCCATCTGTTAGCAGACAACATCCCTCTGTTAGCAGACGACATCTGACTGTTAGCAGACTAAATATGTTTGGCAGCAGACGACGTCCATCTGCTTAGGGCTCTGAGCACAGATAACATCCATCTGCTTGAGGCTGTGAGCACAGATGATGTCCGTCTGCTTGGAGCTGTGGACGTCTATACAAAACGCGGTGCTCGTCCCATTGATGGTGACGGGCATTGAGCTCCACTCCGGTCGGAAGCCGAGGGCAGCTGCGTCCTTGTCAAGCCCCAGGAAGATGAGCATGTCGTGGTTTCCTGTTCGCTGCTCGCTTCGTCTGTACTGTACCAGTGGTGCTTGAGAGAGACACTTTCGCGCAGAGGGGTGTGTGTCCTGTGAGGAGGAGGAAACGTGGCGATTTATAATAACAAACTCTAAAAGAGAACAGCGTGGACAGCGCAGCATCTCCGACTGGTTTTCTTCAGCAATAAAACTCTCTCAAAGGTTCCCATTCCTAGCTGTCCTTCAAAGGGGCTAGGTGCTCCCTAAGTGCAACAAAGAATTTAAGAGCAGCTGCACGCTGTCTACCTTTGCACTGCTCATATGTCAACTGAAAAATGCTGAGCCAGTTAGCTGTGAACTCACGTACAAAGCCTGATATTTTGCAGAAAAAAGCTAGTTTGCACGCACAGAACGAATTACACAGTTCAGCAGAAGATGGGAGAAGGCGATTATTGGAAAGGTCTGTATCATAGACTGGCCATTTCTGACAGGACTTGGCTTAGCAAATACAGATTTAGTAGTTGATTACAATAAAATTAGCATTGATTGGCATCTGTCCTGCATAAATAAAGCTTCAATGAAACCAAAAAGTGAGAGTAAAACAAAGAGCGGGCAGTGAGAGCAAATGGTTGGTTCTTTAGTGTGTAAGACAGAACAACCCTAACAGTATGTAATCCTACAGATAGGTATAGGATGCCCTGGAGTCCCATCGATACCCTTGAAAGAAACTGCCTGGCAGCCTCAGAGTGCTCAACAAATATCTTGTAAACATCAGCAATACCACGTGGAAAAAATGTTCCCAGAACAGTCGTTCAGATTTCAAATGGGTTGCATGCATGACACGTTCATGTAGGAACTCTCCAGGTTTGTCAGAATGATCAAGGCAAGTTTAAGTTTGATCAAGACCCATGACATTGTGAGATCACATTGGGAAGCTGCACTTCATCACGTTCACAAGCCAGTTGCATTCACCGACAGTCGCCTACTACTACAGGCTCCCAGAGTCACACTTAGGCTGTGTTCCAAATCTTACCCAAATGGATCCGAGTTACTCCGGCGGATCGTGTCACGTGACAGCACAGATTGAAAAACGCTGGACGCGAGTAGGTTTTAGAACACCAAGGGCACAAAACCCTTACCCTGAAGTAAGATTGAGTAAATTTTAGAACACGGCCTTAGTCTAACTGCTTGCGGTCCTGGTTGCCTATTCATAGTAGCCTCAAGCAGAGGTGTCGGGTAGCGGATTGCAATGTCCAGGGTTCGATTTCCGCTACTCAGCATAGCAAATCTCACTAATTATGATAAAATGACTGAGCATGCTCATGCATCCCCTGTTATGGACTTTGAAGGCTTTATGTTGCCTTGGTCTGCATGTAATGGCTTTTCTTTACCCTCGAGCATGACACTTCCTGCATAAAGTCCAACCCATAAACACATTCTGTGTTAAAAAGAAGTGCAAGAAGTTTACCTTCTTGGAGCGGCATCTCCTGGCCCGTGAGGCCAGACTCGATGGGGGCCACTCTCCCGAAAGTTTGGCCTTCCAAAAGTCCCCGAGGACTCCTTGGAGTCTATGAGAAAGAAAGGTGCCAAAACATGCTCATTCACATGCCTGCCACACATCTGACAGGTTCTTGAAAACATGGACAGAAAAATTTGAACCCCAGAAAGCTTTGTGCATAGCATTTTATATATGTCAGCTTTGAAGATGTTTTGTTTCCATGGATGTCCATTAGTAGCCTAACAATAGCTGCACATCCAGGTTTCAAGAGCATAAAACCCCCCTCATGACATGCAGAGAGCTAGTGTCTCATATACCGGGTGTATTGCAGGAAGAGACATCTAATCAAAGATCATGCCGTGCCTCTCATTCTACGTCGTGGCACAGAACACCAGGGGCACCACCGGACGGGGAGGCAGTAGGGGAGGGCAAGCGTCAGCCAATCACGAGTGTTGGCTTACCGGCGAACTGATTTTTAGAATGCCCACATATTCGAAAATTCAGTCTGTCGGGAAGCCGTCATTTATGATTGGCTGTCATGTGCCCTCCTCTGCTGCCTTCCCATCTGGTGGCACCCCTTTTTTCTAAATTATCCAAGCATTGCGAGGAGAACGCTGGAAGTGTATTGCTACGGTTCACGCGCGCTGGCCTTCCTCTTATAAAAGATTTGAAGTAAAAAATCATAATAAGGCTTTAACGAACGCATTCACCAAGGCAAAATTTGTTTTCTACTTTTTGCTTTAGAACGGTTACTACTGCAGACGCCAGCACGTACGACGCGTGCAATTACAGTCGTAGCATGCACCTCGGTGCGTGGATAATTTAGAAAAAAGGTATGTTGGAACGGCCATCTGCTTTTGTGTGCTATCAACAATCCGCTTTCCAAAGACCTTGCCATGCCGACAATTATCACGTTCATTAGGCTTAGGAATGTCCAGAATCGAAACACTATCTAAAAAATGTGGCGATGTCATTGCCCATGCTTTGCGGTTTAATTGAGGTAAGGCAAAGCGAAAGCCTCCTGCACCATTCGTTGCTGACTAACACGCCCGATATTGCAGCAACAACAACATATTAGTTCCAAAGCGAGCGGCGCTCACTCACTGGGGCACCGCCATGTTTCCCCGCATCCCTACCGAGCCCAGACACGTGATCTCAAAATCCCCCTCCTAGGTACTGCGGCTGACTTTAGCCGCGGTTAGTGCTTCGAGCAAACGGGCCCTGGTGTTCTGCGCCATGGCGCAGAAAGGGGGAAGTGGCATCCCAGCTGAAAATTCCCATTAGATCCAATCGGAATTCTAACTGGTTTTAATTGGAACCAATTGGTTTTAGCGGGTTCCAATTGGAAGCACACTGGCCAATGGGTCTCACCAACTGGAAAAAATTTTCCAGTTGGAATCTTAATGGGTTCCAATTGGTTCCCATTGCAGTGACCAATTAGTTGTCCCAAAACCTAGCTGGTACCAATTGGAAATTCCAATTGGAATCTAATGGGAATTTTCAACTGGAATGATCTTTGATTGAACTTTTAATAGGGAAATTAGCCACCCTTGAATGCAATATCGGGTATTTTAGGATGCTTAGAGCCCATAGACCATGTTATGACAATAAATAGACAATCTCAGAATCCTACTTGAGTGCCCCTTTAAAAAAAAGGATGCAGCTCTAAAACTAAAATTTGTCATAAGATGTCATAAGGTGGGTACAATGTCAAGAAACACAATGTATTCAGTACAAGTTTAATCTGAAAGGCTCATTTGAAGCAATAAAGCCTTTAAAAACAACATGTTAATCTGACAACTAAAAAATTATAAATCAGTCAACCAAAAAGTTAATTATTTGTGCCTATCCTGTTAATTCCTTGCTCTACTTCCATGTTTATTATGAGCAAAGTGCAACAAGTTTCATGTTCTTTGCATTGGCTATATTGCAAAGAGTGGATATCATTGCATTTGATTCCAAAAAACAGTACCCAAAATTGTATCTGGACAGTATTTGTAAGACAAACATTTAAAATACTAAATTTTCAGTATATGAATTCAATTGACAAATAGAGTAGACAAATGAAATTATAAATAAAACACAACTCAAAATATTTTAAATATATATTTCAAATACTGCCCATCCCTGGTTTGTTTGTGTATGTGTGTGTGTGTGTGTGCATGCGGGCAGTGCATTGACCTCATCGCCTTGCCGCACAATCTACCATAGTAGTTTCACTTGGTAGTACATTACACATCTTCAAGATTGTTTTTAACATAGTTCTGGGTGCACGTTAACATAGTTCTTAAAACCAAAGCCCCAGAACATAGTTCTGGGGGCTCTGGCTATAAGTTGGCTAGAAGATGGCTCCAGCCAAGAACCGGCTGGGCTTCAGTTAGCCCCACTGCCATGAGTCAGCTGGGCACCGGCTCGACCCTTGCTACAAGATGGTTAAGCTACAAACTGACTGGGCCCTGGCCAAGAGCCGGTTGGTTCCTGGCCATTAGCCAGCTGGACTTCATTTATGAGTTGGCTGGGCTCTGGTTATCAGCTGGCTACAAAATGGTTATAGCTACAAACTGACTGGGTTTTGTCCAACAGCTGGCTCAACCCCCGTTGGTCCCCGGCTGTGAGCCACCTGGGCCCCATTTATGAGTTGGCTGGGCTCCGGCTATGAGCCAACTACAAGATGGCTGTGGCTATAGAACCAGCAGAGCTTCGATCAAAAACTGGCTGAGCTCCAGTTAGCCCTTGCCAAAAGCCAGCTCGGTGCCACCTGGCTCTGTTTCAAAGGTTGCTGGGCTCTGGCTACAAGCCGACTACAAGATGGCTAAAAGCTACAAACTGATTGGGTTTTGGTCAAGAGCCAGCTGGCCCCCGGCTATGAGCCAGCTGGGCTCTGCTTATGTGTTGGCTGTGCTCTGGCTATGAACCGGCTGCAAGATGGCTATGGCTACACTCTCAGAACAAAAGGGCCTTACACCCTTTGTCCCATACGCTACACCCCAAAACTTCAGTTCGACGTACAGCGCACTGACGTCAAACTGATGGTACCAACTTTCGCGAGCGGCTTGATAGCCAAGTGGGACAACTTATTAAAATAGCTAACGCATGTGTTACTGACTGCAAAAAAAAAACAATCAGAGTCTTCTTGGCCCTATTGCAAAACCTCAGTGTTTTTTTAGAGCGCAGCTCTTAGGCGTCCGTTTCCGGCTTGAGCGGCGTCGCCGTCGCCGTAACCGTTAGGTTACGGCAACGGCGACGCCGCGGTCACGTGACTTCCGCCCCCCCCCCCCCCCCCCCCAAGATCACGTGACCGCCGTGAGGGGAGGAGGAGAAAGGAGGGGAGCAGGGGGGACGAATCCGAATTTTCATTACTCCGAAAAATGATTTTAAAAGACTTTTATCTCTTGTCCCTCGGCCGGCTTCGAACCGGAGCCCTATCATTCAGGAGTAGCAGGCAGGATCATGAGGGAGGAGGAGGGAGGAGGAATATACCCTTTTTCTCAGTTTCCTTCCCTCCTCCTCCTCCTGAAGAGCTGCGCTCCAATGTGGTGTGACAGGGAGTAGTAAACAGCTTTCATTTTTTCTCTAGTCTTTAATAAATATTTTCGCTGTTTTAATAGGTTATAGGTTTAATAAGTTGGGGATGTTGTATATGAAAAAAAGGCTGTAAGAGTATACCCTTTTTTTTTCTGAGAATGTACAAAACCGGCAGGGCTCCGGCCAAGAACTGCCTGAGCTCCGGTTAGCCCTGTCACGAGTCAGCTGGGCTCGGGCCTAGGTCGTGAGCGGGGTAGGCACCGGCCTTGCGCCAACTCGATTTCGGCTACGAGCCAAAAACAAGCCGGCTAGAGGACTGCACGTAGCCCGAGCTTTGGCACCTCTGTCCTGGAGCGACGAGGGCCCCGAGGAAGGTGCGTCCTGGTGCGCCGCCAGGTGAGGCTCGCTCGAGGTGCGCGTGGAAGAGAGGAGGCGCTGCATGGCCGGCGAGTGGGGCAGGCTGCCGGCCGAGAACTCCTCCAGGCTGGCACTGCCCCAGGGGGCCTCAAAGAACTGCCGCCGCAGCTCCGCCACGTTGGTGGGCCTTGACAGTCGCTGGTGCTGGTTCTGCTGGTGCTGCCTCTGCCAATTGCGGCGCAACAATATCAGGTCAGTGCCAACTCAGGTCTCTGAAACATGAACAAATCTTCAGTTTGAACGCAATAACAAAGGTTGCAATCTGCCGGGAACACGTCTGCGACTGGTCCAGGCGAAAACCAGTCCACTTCCAGCTGGATTATGGAACTGGAAATGAGACAGTCCGGCTGGATTTCCAGCTGGACCCAGCTGGACCCAGTTGGAATCCAGCTGGACTGCCTCATTTCCAGTTCCATAATCCCAGCTGGAAGTGGACTGATTTTCGCCTGGACGTGTTTACCACATTCTAAAAAGCGGTCCCTCTGTTTCCACCCGGTGACTTCGCGGGAGTTTCACGTCGCTGCCGGCTGTGATCCTAGCGGCGTCACAGCAGTGGCGATGGATGTGGCGGGCGCCTGTTCTGCTGCCGGTCACTCTCCACGTTAACAATCCCCGTCTTGGTAAAATTAGCGCAAAGACAAGGGGGGAAAAACTTAGAGACAGAATAGAGTGCTACTTACAACTGGCATTTAATAGTAATGTGAAAGGAAGACGAAGAAGTCCTGACAGTTGAAAGAGAAAGACACAAATAAAAACCTGAGAGAGAGAAATAGCGATAAAAAAGAAAGGGAAAAAGCGGGGAAGAAAAAGGGGGTAAGGTTTAAGCTTGATGACTGGTCGTTTTGGACAGCCCAGCCATCAAGCTTAAACCTAAACCCCTTTTCCTTCCCGTTTTTTTTTAGTCTCTTTTTTTATTCCTTCTTTTTATCGCTATTTCCCTTTCACTCCCACCCCTTCTTTCACTGACAATTTCTCAGGTTTTTATTTGTGTCTTTCTCTTTTAACTGTCAGTACTTCTTTGTCTTTCTCTCACTTATTCAATGCCAGTTGTAAGTAGTGCATCTATATCCTGTCTCCACATTCTTCGTCCCTTGTCTTTGCGCTAATTTTACCAAGATGTACAGCCAACTAGCCCACCGCATGATTTTAACAAGCCACGCAAGCTTCGGCAGCCAGGAGTTTGGATGCCGCAACGACAGCGACACTCCTGTTCGCTCTTACTTTTTGCCTGAATTTCTTGGCCCGACCGTCAGGATTGTGACATCCTACTGCAAAAACACACAGGCTTTTGTTACATAATTTGTTGCCATTCTGGGACCACTTTCGACGGATGGGCAGAACGGGGCGCTAAACACACCAGTCGGAGATGCCCTCAAGGCACCATAGACCATAATATGATTCCTTGAGGAATCATAGTCACATAAACAGTTTGAAAGTGCTTTCCAGGCATCGCTATGAAACGGTTCCCAGAAAAAGAAAAGGAACACCTCAAAACAGAGGGTTGGAAGCATAAAGCTTGTATGATAAATCTGGGGGAAAAGGACCACTGTCTTCCCACACATTTTGACCACTTTGGAACGGTGGGGCATAGAAGCGAACATCGGTAGGGCCAGACTGCTGGTCAGCCTTAGTGAACGCAAAGGAGAGTCTGAACGCACCTTACGATTTGCACAGACCAGTAACAAACGCATTCCTGGTGTCATATTTGAACAGTTCCCAAAGAAACAAAAATACTGCACCATGAAGTAGGAGAGTCAGAATGCACCTTATGACTTGCAAGTTTGGAGATGGCCGACCACGTGACGCCGCCATCTTGCCCGCCGCCTTGCCCGCCGCCTTGCCCGCCGCCTTGCCCACCGCGAGCCTGGTTCTCGAGGCGCTTGCTCCGGAGCGAGCTGGTGCCGGCTGCCCGGCGAGGGGGTGGAACGGGAGGGCAGTCTCCGGCGGGGTCCTCGCCCGAAGGGTCTTCCTCGTGAGCGTCGTCGGGGCTGCAGCGATCTTGCGTCGGCGCCAGGGGAGAGGCACTGGCGCGGCCGTCGTCGCTTGCATCCGATTCGCCATCCTCAGAACCGCCTTCGGCTGCGGGCCAATCACCTGAGAAGGGGGAATGTTGGGTGAGCCACCGGAGTGGTTGTACGGCATTGACAACGAGACATGAAAAGAAGATACACATATGACTCTGGCGGCTCTTTGGGCTACCCAAACTGAGCACATTTGCAAAATGCAAATGTGCTCTTTGCACATTTGAGCACATTTGCAAAATGCAAATGGCTTTGCTCTTTCCGGCACTATGTTCATTATCTCCAAATTCGAAATGGCTAATGAGAAAACGGCAAACGAAGGTGGTGCGTCACATGTTGCATAACTTGCAAGTCGAGCAGGCGGTCTACAAAACACAATATATTGCTCGCGTTTTTTCTTCGATTTGATGGCATGAGTTGGACCATAATTTGTATCGAACTATCAAATTTCTTTGTAAACTGTCGGAAACAAACTGTAACGCCCCATACTGCACCATATTCAGCGTCTGGTGTCACATTCCAAGTGTTGCCAGTGGAGCCGCTTCAGACCCCCAGACCAAAGTTAAAACTTCAATAACTTTGCAAAAAAAAAAAAAGAAATTATTCTGACTTGCAACTTGGGTTGTACTTCAAATTTGTCCGTTGATACATTGAATAAATTTTGAGGCAAATCAGTGACTATAAAAAGTTTTGGTCGGAGCTCCCCTCCGATACGGACACCTCCTTTCCTTGAAACAATTGTCCATAAAATGGGTCGTTCGTAGTAACAACAAAGAAATGAATATATGTAACCAGGTTGTCTATGTAAATTTTGTCCATATAGCAAGGTATCCATATTAACGGGTTCCAGGTTAATGCGAAATGACTGTATACTTGTGCAGGGGGCACAGTGCATGTTTTTTTTAACTGCAACAGATGGCTGGGTTAGTTGGTTGGACGTATGAAGTAATCAACTTAACATTCTGAAAGAGGAGAGGAGGGAGGGCAGGGGTGCATGCTTAAGAGCTTGTTAAAATATTGGCCTTGCCAAAGGAAGAAGTACTTGATATTGTCATAAATTTGGTCATGTATGCATGCACATGCTGTCAGAAATTTGTTGTCTCCTTTACATCAAGAGAAATAGAGGATCAGTTGAAAGTCAGCTGTTGTCCTGTGCCTACCTTCCACATATTTGTGTCCTTTTAACTGTTTGCTTCTAAAACAGTTTAATGATCGGACACTGGAAATATGTGTCTTAACAGGCACCCCAACGCTCCAAATAAAGGCTAAAAACAACCTAATAATTGTACGCACACCTGTCTCTTTCTATGCACACATGCAAAAAAAGTAGTAGTAGTGTCTACGATGACAAAAGTAGAAACTACAGTAATAAGATAATATACTGCCCTTATACACGGCCTCCAATTATGCCCACAGGATATTGAAGTTGAGGTATGATGTCAACATTGCTAGACATAAAAAAAGGGGGGATAGATGCATCTGCTATTTTTTGTTTTTTCAAAAATATACGAAAATTAGTTTGCATATGTATAATACAAAGTACTCAGGTACAGAGTGCGACACTGTTAGCGCGAACAAGTGATCGCCAGTTTTTCCAGTTCTTCTCATTCAAACCAAGAGATTTCATCCAAGTTATTATTGCTACGGAAAGAGCTCAATTAGTTCTATAATGTAAGCGATAAAATTTCGTGCTCGCTAATACTATTTAGAAGTAAAATGCGAAAATGCACCGATGTCGTGTTCGCGCTAACAGTGTCGCGATGTGTACCACAGTGAATCTGGTCTCCCGTCTCACCAAGTGTTCCACAGGTATGGCTCTCAACGTCGGCCCCACGCTGCCCTTCGTCGCTCGCCTGACTTGTCGCCGAAGCCGCTCGACTCAGCGGTGGATTGGGATCCTCCTCGGCAACTTCCGGGGAGTCTGGCGTAGCATTTTCGAGGGAATTACTACATCTGGCAGTGCACCAAAACCATCGCATGCGGTGAAAACTCACAAGTCAAGTTGACTAGGATGGCGCAGCGATGAGCAACAAGGTAGTGCTTGTTGCACTTTGTGATGAACCCCCCGTGACAAACACTGCTGTGACAAATACCCTTGTGACAAGCACTCTCATGATAAGCACCCTTATGACAAATACACTTGTGATTAACACTCCCATGACAAATCCTCCTCTTATGAACACGTACCCCAGTCACCAAGTGACAATGCCCTCGTGACGAAAACCCGTGACGAACACGCTTGTGACAAACACCCCCATGACTAACAAACACCCATGTGACGAACACCCTGGTGATGAACACACTTTCAGCAAAACCCCCATGACAAATAGGGTTGTATTGTACACCCCATGACAAGCACTCTTGTGACAAACCCTCCTGTAGATGAACACTCCAGTGACAAATACCTCCATGACAAACACCCCTGTGACAAACATACTTGTGATGAACACCCCTTGGAAACCTCCCTTGCGACAAATGCCATGTGACAACCACCCTTTGACAATATCATCTAATGAAAAGCACTTTTCTTTCAGTCAAAATTTGCACTTGTGGGCTATATGGTACAGACTGTGGCCCAGAAGATACTGTAGGAATATAACAGATGCACACTGTCTGCTTCATTAGTTTCAAACCGATCGTCACAGATCGGTTTGACCTGCCTCTTTCAACAGAAGTGGTGCCCCCTGTTGAAGAGTTATCTTGGCAGGAAACTAGAGATAAGAAGGAGAGAAGTTTCTTTGTACCAACTTGGGGTTCCAAAAATACAATGGGCACGTAAGCAATGTCTCGGGAGCTGAATCTAGATAACCATAGCTCAGTGAAACTAACAGGTCTATACTCCGTTTCACCTTACGTCTGGCAATAGCAGACGCTACGAGCAATTCCAGACAATCCAGCTTTGTGAACATAGCCCGTGACTATGCTTTCTGCACGTCACGGCACTTTCTGTAGAAGGTCACAGGAAACTCTCATGGCCTTAGGTTGGCTTCGATGGCTCGTAGCATCCGCTGCGACCGGACGTGAGGTAAAAAGGAGCATAGCCTCCTCGCTCGAAGGAATGTTCTCGGTTCCTTGTGCGTTCACCCACGCAGCTTTATACCGAGAAACCCTCACATTGGGAATTCGGAAAAAGGTAGATGAATCGGTAGCCTCACCCTCTTGTGGCGCAGGCCTCGTGATGGCCTCCAGCACAGTGTACTGCTCGTTGGCGTCGGGGTCCTCGAATATCCGGTCGACGTACGTGATGAGCAGCTCGATGGCCCTGGTCTGGTGCACCGTGTCCACCAGCGAGCTCAGCGAGGCACTGCCTTCTCTGCAATGGCCAACACAGGAAAGTCAGCTTCCCTGGATTTCTCCAACTCCCCAAGTCTAGCTTGCCCCCGAAAAGAAAATGTAAGGTGTTTTTTTACCACAACAAGGAACTATGCATCGCCAAACACTGAATCACTGCCAATACGTAATGCTATAGCGGTCCAAACCAGAGGTCAAAGTTTCAGGACAAACCGTCATCTTATTCAAAACTTATGAGCAATATTTTAAAACTTTCAACGGGAAAATGGGGCCCGTTCTCGGTAGTTTACGCCATTCAACCCTATGCATTCTTGGGCTTCGTTGGCTGCCATTTTCCCATCGAATATTTCACGAAAACAGATCTCTTCATAAAGATGACGGTTGGTCCTGAAACTTTCTTTGTCATCTGGTCAGGACTGCTAAGCGCTATAATTAGCTGGAGACTGAGCATGCGGCGATATATTGTTTAGTTTTGTGGTGAGAGAAACAATGAAGTTTTTAGGGAACAGGAAGTAGGATCACTTGAAGAGACCCTGAAACGGAAGCTGGCAGCAGAGAACCGGATGATCCTTCTCTCCCACATGCAACTGTCTATAGTCAAAACAGAATCCCTTGAGGTTCTCAAAGCTTATGTCTTCAAAGAAATCTCTATCTCCCTCAATGATTAGCTGAGGAACCCCTCTTAGGGCTCTAAACTGGACACTTCTCAAAAAGGTTGGTGAGGACTTCAACCGCCGTGATTGGCCGGCACCAAGGTCAAGCGAGGCGCCGGCCAATCACGGCCGCAGAATTACTCGACAACGTTTAGGCCAAGGGTCCATATTATAGTCCTTGTCTCAGCATTGATGCAGTAAAGCAGTATGAGCCAACAGATCACATAAATGAAGAGAATCATACTAGGAAGTGTTTTGCTCGTAGTCATATCAATGGACGGCTTGAATCTTCTAAAATTGCACATTAACTGGAGGATTGTGTTTACTTAGAGATACGGACAACTGAGAAAATTAGGGACCTTGGGAAACCTTTAAAGTTACCCTAGGAAACCCCTGAGGGTGTCTTGGGAAACTCTTAAGGGTACCCTGGGGATTCCCTACGGGTAACCTGAAGAATCCCTGAGGGTACACTGGGGAATCCATGAGGGTATACCCATGGGAAACTGAGGGTACCGAGGGGAAACCCTGAGGGAACCCTTAAGGGCACCCTGGAGAACCCCTGAGGGTGCCCTAAGGAACCCCTGAGACTCTGGAGAATCCCTGAAGGTGCCCTGTGGAACACCTGAGGGTGCCCTGGGGAACCTCTTGCTTCCTAGGAACTATGTCGAGTGTGGAGCTGCTGAATGCACTAGTCTCGGAGTGAGGACTTTCTCAATGAGCCCTCGACCCCCGAATAGACCTTCTGCAAAGCATGCTGTGCTGTCTGCAGCGCCAAAAGAAATGCAAGGAATGCTGGTAGAGCCGGCTCTAGCAGACAACAGAAGCAACCTTGGAGGCGATGGCAAGCGGGTGAGGGCAGGCGAGCGACTGCACTACGCTCTCGCTTTCTTCAGCGTCGCGTGGTAGACGCTGAGGTGGCAAAGAGGAGTGTAAGGGAGTTTGTGTGCAGCATTTTGAGATTCTTGAAAAAAGTCTATTTGAAGAAAAATAAACTCTGAAAACACGAAACCATATTCATGAGCCGTCCCAAAATAGAGCAGACGGCATGCAACACGAAGTGTGGTGCATTAGAAAATCTAAATTTAAGAGAGGGATCAACTCAAACCATGGAGAGCATTTGCAATTTAATGGTGGATACCTCCTAGGCAGATTGGTCGCAAATGCGCATCCTTTACGTTGTCGCGATGCAAGAAGGAAAGTGGGTGCAGAGGTGGACACGCTCGCAGACGACAGCCGCTTTTGCCTCCTTCTCGACGCTCGTATCGAAAACGCGGCCCATAAAACGGGTGACACCGATCGAGCGGTTGGAAACACTCTAATATCTCTGCACATTAAGGTGCATCCCTGACCTGGTGCGAAGCAGTGTGGGTCCAAACATGATGGCGAGGTTGCTGGCCGGCATGCAGTTCTTGCGCGCGTGCTGCGCCACCCGCGCCAGGTGGCGCAGGAGGAGTGCCAAAGTGCGCCGGTGCACGGAGGGAAGCTGCTCCACCAGACGGCGCAAGTCCGGCACTGCTTCTTGGCCGCCGACAACTTCCTCAGGGGGAGCGTCATTGGCCTGATCTTCCTCGGGAACGGCTCCCTCCGCGTGACTCCCCGCGGGGTGTTCCTGTAACACCGTTGCGTCAGCGGTCATAAGTCAAAGAAACGAAAGCTAGATTGGCCACTCAGAGTGGACCACACATGCATGTGTTAAGACCAATCTCTGCAATACAGTCTGTCGAGCCCAACGCAATGTTGGCGCGAGCATGTGAGGCACAAGGTTGGGCCAGGGTTCAGCGTGCCATGCAAGTGGTATTTCGACATCGGGCCTCTTCGAGCCAGGGTGACCTTTCTCCTGCTTACCTTTACTAATAAAAGCTTATGGCGCGACGGCGTTTAAGCCTTTGGCGAGTTTGTCTCACTCGGTACATAACGCTGCCTCATGTGCTTGTGCGCTCGTGCCAGCGTAGCCTCAGGGTCGATACACTACACCAATCATGCCATGACTAGCAAGCAGGGTGGGCCAGTGACTCTCTTTTAGGTATGCCAGCAACTCCAGGCCAATTATATAGCACCGTTGCCGTCAATTTCCGTAAATATCAAAAACAACTTCTCAATCGGTCACCGAGTTTGAAAGGACTGTACATGCATGTTTCTAGACCAACCATGTCATGACTTGCAGTCCGGGTGTCTTTAGTGACTACCTTTTAGGTATGCTAGCAACTCCAGCAGGGTGTTCATCTAACAGTGTTGTGCCAACCTTCGTAAATCTAAGAAACAAGCTCCATTGGTCACTGAGAGTTCGAGGAAAAAAAGGAATACACAGGTTTGTTTCCAGAACAAATCATACTGTAAAATGTCAAGCAAGTGCCCCCTTCAAATTTAGAGATTTTCCAGTCAAAATAAGGAGGGGGAGCTAGCTTACTCAGTGCAGAAATGACATTCAAGATGGCGACCACAAAAATACTAAATTTTCATTAAATGAAAAGGGGTGCTTACATGAGGGAAGGCGCATGCTCGGTATTTACAGTAGTATGTTTTGTGAACTGGGTATGCCAGTGATTCCTTGTGGGGCATTCTTGCAGCTCCACTGAATCGACTTCCATAGATTTCAGGAACAAGCTCAACGGGTCACTGAGGCTTCGAAAAAAACTGTGCACGCTTGTTTTTAAAACAATTGTGGAAGGATTTGTAAGCCGGGTGTGTTAATTACTCCCTCTCAAATGTCCTAAAACCAAAGAACAGCCAGAAAAACTACCAGCATGGCTGAAAATGCTCTTTTAGCACAGTAACCCGAGTGCTAAAGTTTAGTGCCTGTCGGCACTGTGCGGGAGTAAAACACAAAAAAGCACCGACGTCATGTTTGCGCCAAGAGTGTCGCGCAGCGTGCATCGCGTGAAACCGCCCTATATAGGCCCGTTCATACACTCGCGAATGCTTACGACCAAGTGCAACGCGCCCCCTAGTGATCTCTCACGACAAGAGAACATACAGGGCCATCTATCGGGCCGTCAGGGAACACTCACGATTTCCGCACAGTATTTCCCATTTCTTTCATGCATCATTCTTTCCCTATTGGCTCTAAAAACTTCCAACAATAGTATAAACAATCATTCCTCACAGAGAGGACGACATGCATTTGATCTCAGAAATACCGCAAAACCTTTGCCCTAGTGACATGCAGTACCGGGGCCACCTCACAGATGGCACCGGAGTGCCAGCGTGTCGTGGCAAGACGTCACGAGAGGTCACGACGCGCTCAGCCGTGAGCAGTCGCAAGCGCGCAAACCGGCCGTTAAACATCCGTCTGTCAGCGAAATAGCTGAGAAAACGGGATATGCTTGTACCCTGGCCACGCCGACGAAGTGTGGGTACAGCCTGAAGGTGAGCAGGGGCTCGGGCAGCTGGCGGAGGTAGAGCTTGAGCACGTTGGCCACCACGTTGGGGTGGGCGTCGCTCAGGTCCACCAGCTGGGCGCCGTTCTCAAAGCACTGGCACAGCTTCTCCACCTTCGACTTGACCCCGGACACCCGGTACAGCCCCTGCAGAGGGCGTCACCGCTTCGTCAGTGCGACGTGGCCGAGTTTGGGAACCTAGCCCGGCCTAACTTACCCGACCTAACCTAACGTAGCCTAAACTAGACTCGTGTAACCTAAGCTAGTCTAGCCTGACTTAAACTAACCTAGGCTGACCTAAACTAACTTAGCCTGACCGAAACAAGACTAGCCTGACCTAATGGGGTCGAGCCTAAGTTTGCATGCGTTTACACCTTAACGATTAGCACAAGGAAACCATTCGATCTGTTGGAGCACAATTGACTCGAAAGCCGCCTGATGTAGCGAATTGTGTGCCGCACATTTTCTGTTTCTTTGTCTCTATGAAACTGAAACTATAGTAATAAAAATATTAGGATACAGTCAAATCCCGATCTAACAAATTTCATTGGGCTCGCCAAAATCGTTTGTTAATCTGAAATATTGTGATAGTGAAAAATTGGCAAACTGTAATTAAATTTCAGCAAAAATAATGTGCCTTTGCAATAGGAAAATCCAAATGCTCAGTTTTATAAAAAAAAAAGAAAAAAAACCTACACGCGATTGTACACTATATATTTTTAAAAAGAAAATAAAAGGTCCAGTGCAAACGCTACAGGAAGAATGACCCGACCACGACCGGCTTTATTAGGGGCGACCAGCTCACTCCACGTTTCCCTATGGGAGCACGCGGGCCAATAAATATCATGTAAACGACTTGGAGGCACCAAGCGTTCCACTAGGCGCCACCCTAGCTCAGCACCAAAAGTGCGGCGGCCGCTATAAAAGGCAATGGGAGCGTGTGGAAATAATGCTGGTTTTAGATCATTTTTCTTTTTGCATTTAATAGGCAGGCGCTAATGCTAGCACATAGTGTGTACAGAATAGGTTAAAATGAGTCACTACATTATAGTTTTTTTCTCGAGCAGAATAGTTAGTATTGTGAGCTAAGCATCAGTAGGGTGTACGAGCGTACAGTATAGTGCATCCAGTCCGCCTGCTGGAGCCCAGTTCCGTGATCGGAATAAAAAATCGAGTTAGATGCTTTGCACGTGGGCCGTGACGCTCTTGGTGAACGTTCGAAGTGAGACACTGTCGATTATTAGTGAACTGGTGACTGGCGGTGGGGGAAGGGGGGTGACTTTTAAAGTGGCACTGCAAGGGGTGCGAGGGAGTTCTAGTGACGAAGCGTACGGGTTAAAAGGGGCTGCAGTCCACCAGTGCGAGTACACCACGGAGGAGGCAAAAGGAAGCGAGGAGTCCGGTAACAATAAAGTAATTAGAAGCCGCGTGGTCACTACTTGACGTCGATGTTGAAACGGGTCCCTGCCGACTGAACGGAGGAGGTGCAGTGCTCGATAGGATGGTGTTCAGGGGCCAGGTTGGCGCCTCATAATAAGGTAAGAAGCGCAACGTTGCACCGACCCGAGGGAGGCAACAAGTTGCCTGGTTACCGAATCCAACACCGAGCAGAAAAACTCCAGGATGGGCAACACCAGTGCTGTGAACAGCAATCTGGGAACATCAAGACTGGCTCTTCTTATGAACCAAATGACGAAGCCAATTAGGCAGTCACCTTTCCCCGGACACTACGTTTTGGACTTTGCGATGGAAGTCAAAATGCTGGTCAATGATGACACCTAGGAGGTGGATACCTGCGTTGTTCTTGAGATCTCTACTCGGTTCAGGAAAAGTGTTGGAGGGGTCGAAGGTTGGCGCGAGGCAGTGATGTGCATGGTAGCGCATTTGGTTTAAGTTTAGGGGAAGTTTGTTATCGTTTGACCAGAGAAAATGCGATCTAGATCAGCTTGTAGCGCTTTACCGAACGTACAATCGCAATAACGTTAACAAAAGTCTTTAAAATACAGCCGATTATCCTCAAAGCGTCGCCGGTCGTGGTGCGGACACACACAGATACACACGCGAAAGCGTCTGCTAGTGTGTTAAGCTACAGTGTCAGAAACTGCAGTGGCAGTTCAGCGAACTAGAGAAAGCAATAAATAAGCAAAAGCAAATGCAGCGTGCTGACGCTGTCTCGGGTGACCTGGTCACCCCCATAAAGTCGGTCGTAGACCCGACGTTGACGGTGACACTGGGAGAAGCAGCGTGCTCAATCCTGGGAGAAGCAACGAGTTGGAGAAAGTGGCGCGCAGGGGAGAGCGAGGGTAAACGAGAGACAAGAGAACTATGGGATGAGCGGAGCAAGGATACAACGCGAAAACGCCGAGGCATTTCAGAACCCGGGGAGGAAAAGGGAAAGCGCTGTCTCCTGCTCCCTCCCAACGCTTCGGCTGTCTTGGGTTGCCTGCGGCATGTTTTTGGACCCTCTGAAATGGTGCGCAGGCGCGTAGAACTCTTCCGCGTTGCCGCGCCACCGCCCCTCTCCTCATGCAGCCGTCGAATTCGTCGGGCATTTCCAGCCGGAACGTCGTACGACGTGAGACGTGTAGAATCAAGCGTTGGTGTAAACCAAACTTTTTAATACAATACTTCTATGGGGAGTTCGCCAGGACCTGGTGAATTCGTTGTAAATTGTGGGATGTCGCATAAACCGGGGACGCATAATCGAGGTTTTGCTGTGTTCGGTCTGAATTCGCTTTAAACTCAAAATCCTCTATTCGCACGTGGCTCAAGAATATACAATACGGGGAAGGACCCACTCTCGTGCGCTGTTGACATACGAGGTACTGAATGAAACATTACATATTCGTTACCACCGCTAGCATGATAAAGGATAGACAGCTATCCGAACCACTAAATGGCACTGAATATCGGAAAGGGTTCAGAGAGCGGAAGCAGACTCTCAGCTTGCCTTGACGTCGTACCCCCGGCGATCGATTTCCTCCACGCATTTGCGAACGATGTATGGGATGTCAGCGTCAGCCTCGTCCGTGTGGTCGGTCAGATCCACCCCAAAGGTGGTCATCTTTCGCGGCAGCCGCTTGTGACCGCATCGAATGGCCAGCGTCTCCAGACACTTCTTGTGTGAGGACAGGCCACACTGAAGGAACAAGCATGCCCTCTGTTACCAGCTGTTGCACCAACACCTAGTGCTTCATCCATCGATTCATTGTTTAAATCAAGTATGCATCAGTATCGATGCGTCAGTTCGCCCATAAATTAAAATGCCATGCATCTATAAAGACATCCACAGCAACAAAGTCAACAGCCAAAACGGCCAGATTATAGAACATAACAATAAGATGCAGGCAAGTTAGACATATGGCAACATTCCCTCTGAAACTTAAATAAAGGAGTAACAACAAAAAGAGCATTAACATCAAAGCCCCCGAGAGACTTCGGACAGTATATATAAGAGACATTTATTGCTGTTCACTCACTTTGTCATTACTTTTTGCCCCCGTCCCACCAGTGTAAAGGTTACAGTAATTAATGAGGCATGCACCCGTGTCACAGTAAGCACTCACTTAGCTACTTTTAAAACATCTAAAATTAAAGTATAAAGAGCATATCAAGCACCCACCCCAGTCAACTTCTGAGCTTACGGAGCTAACTGAGGTGCTCCTCTGCATCGTCTGCTTCTCCGAGCACACCAACACAAAGCTGTGAGGCTTTGGGCATGTGTGCCGGTGCGAAGCGGTGAAACTCTAGGTGCGAGAATGGCGGTGCAAAGTGGGCTTGACGTGAGCGACGCAGCTGCTTTAAAAATTAGGCGCTCTCTAGACCCCTGTACAATCAAATCTCGTTAATTCTAACTCAAGGGGGACCGAAAATTTGTTTGAATACAGCGAAGTTTGAATTACCCGGATTTTTCTCCCATAGATACGCATACGATGGGACCTGCATGTCAGTTGGAATTATCTGCAAGTTTTAATTAACGAGATTCGACTGTATTGTTTCAATACTGTTCCTTCGAATGAATCAAGTGTCTACCTTACCATATTGCCCCCTCTGTTTTTCCACTCATCATGCCCACTTCCATTTTTTTTTTGTTGTGTGATTTACCTGTAGTTTTTTGGTGGGTGCTAGAATTATCATGATTTATTTAAATTCCCTAATTATTGCTGAGAGCCACTTGTCTATCAATACCTACATTAACATAAGATGAGTTATAATTCACTGTAATATACACAACATGACACTTGCAAGTGTGTCAGCATAAAAAGAGTAGGCTTTTCACAGACATGAGGGAGAAAGAGATGATAGACTGCAATATCATACTGTAATATCCTGAGACATAGCCCATCTAAAATTGAAAGCAAATTGGTTGAAAATAAGGAGCAGGCTAACTTTCGGTGTGCGATAAAAAACAACTGAAAAAAAGCTAGTTTTAGATTTTGTGACCTGCAAAACTTGTAATCACCCCCAGGGAGGTGCGATAAACTAAAAACAAGTTGTGATTGCTTGGAGCTGAGCTGGTTGGTTTGACATGCCTCTGAAGGCTTCCAGCTGAAAGTAGAGGGAATAACAAAAGGGGGAAAGGGGGGCAGCCAGCAGTGTGTGTCCCTTTTTTCTCCTTTCCTTCGTTTTTCCCTCTATTTCAGTTGGAAACCTTCAGAAGCAGAAACTAAAGATGACTGTCCTTTCCAGTCAGCCAGGCACGTAGCCAGGGGGGAGGCCCATGGGGCCCGGGCCCCCTCCAAAATCTTCCATTTTGCTGGGACCTCCTCTCCCCCCCTCCCACTCATACAGCGTTTTGTCATGGGCGGGCCCCCCCTGAAACAAAATTCTGGCTACGTGCCTGTAGTCAGCAATGTTCGATTACCTCCTGCTGTGGCTAAGTAACACCATTTCTGCTGAGGTCACCATTGGCCAGGACCCTGCAATTACTAGAAGTAGGCTGTCTTTCGGTGTTTTTTAAAGAGATAGCAAATCATGTCAGAAATAGGGGTGGGTTATCTTGCGGGGGTGAGGCATCACTCGGACGGTAATAGCAAAATGTGTCATAGAGGTGACAAGGACATCATAAGGATGACAAAGCCAAGAACTAGACACAATGAAGACATGACGTGCTAACTCGTCATAGACATATGACAAACAAGGTAAAACAAATATGACAAGGCAATCCCAAACATGACGTGACACAAATATGACAAAGGCATGACACATAGGCAAGATAAAAATTTTAGCCTTTCCACTCTGGTGAAAAAGGAAGACCAGCGAAGCTGCAGTGTACTATCATGGGACGACCTCAAGGACGACTTCCTGGATGACCTCAAAGACGACGCCTAGAGGACGACGTCTAGGACAACCTCAAGGACGACTTCTAGGGCGACCTCAAGGACGACCTCAAGGACGATGCCTAGGACGACCTCAAGGACGACGCCTAGGACGACCTCAAGGATGACGTCTAGGACGACCTCAAGGACAACTTTTAGGACGACCCCGAGGACAACGTCTAGGACGCCTTCTAAAACAACCTCAAGGACGACCTCAAAATAACTTTTAGGACGACCTCGAGGACGACGCCTAGGACGACGCCTAGACACCGGAGTGGAAAGGCTGGAAAGGTTGCCGCCATCTATGAGCGACGGCAGCAACCAGAAAACCGTAAGCCAGTTGTCTGGTTGCCACCGTGGCTCATAGATGGCGGTAGTTGTTCAGAGTTTTGTGTCAACATTTCTTTGGTGACGGACACGAAACTGGGTGTAACTAGCCCTTAACAGCTCCGCTGTAAAAACATAACAAAGAAAATCACAGGACATGACATGTAGGCCGCACAAAACCATAACAAAAATCATTGGACATAATTTTGACAGGAAAGACAATGAAGGCATACCAAGCAGACACGAAACGAAGAAAAGAAGACAATGCACGAACACAACTAGGACAGCAGAGAAATGATTTAGACATGATGCAGACATGACATATACAGAAGGTATGACCAAAACATTACAAAGGCATGACATAGACATAGGCATAAGGTGCACACAAGAATGTGACATAGACATAACGAAGCTTCATTGTGTATATATGTCTCATATCGATCTTGTGTGCATCTCCTGCCATTGTCATGTCTATATCATGCCTTTGTCGTGTTTTGGTCATACCTTCTCGGACCTTGTAATGTCTGTGTCATGCCCAAATCATTTCTCTGCCATCCCAGTTGCATCCGACATTACACAGCTAGGCATGACATGCAGACAGGGCAAGAACATAGCACAAACATAGAAGGCATAAAGAACATGGTAAAATTAATCCAAGACACAGACATGACAAGGCATGAGATGCAGACAGGGCAAGAACACATATGACATACATAATGAGAGCAAGACAGAAACGTGACAAAGCTACAGAAATGATAAAAGGCATGACAGAAAGAAAAAAGACATGGCATGTACACAACAAAGGCAAGACAGAAAACATGACAGAGACATGATACTGCACGGTTCCTTCACGTTCCAGAGCCTACTTGCCTCTGAGCACTCCACCCCTTGGAAGTAGACGTAGGAGTCACATTCCCGGCAGCGGGAGGGAGTGCGCAACTTGCGGAACGAGTGTGTCTCCGCTGCCCGGGACAGGCACATCCGACGGCACAGGCCCAAGCCGCTGTCTGCACATCAAATTAACACCACAGCCAAATGTCAATTCTCGCACAAACTGATCATGTTTTGTCCCGAGCAAGGTTGACCACACATACGTTCCAAGAGCACTCGGATCTACCAAATTCACTTGATTGAAATAAAACCTTGTTGCACGAGATATAGATACTTACAAAAACAAATCCAGCAACTATGTCTCTCTGCAATCCCACATTAAAGAAAGGTATGAAAACACATTAAAGTATATGGAAACAATTAGTGAGTGGAGTTGACAACGTGGCCTCAGCAAAGGGGTTCGCACTAGCTACTCAAAAACAACACCAAAACTTTTGTTTGGAAGGTTTGTGCTCTACCATTTCTGATAACGAGTTGTGCCACCTCTCCGACGACATGGGCAATGGCGACTGCCATTGCCTAGAAAGCAAAAATAACAGGAAGATCCAGTGCTGGATTCTTACGGAATGCGTTAGCATGATCTTTATGAACACCAAACACGTCCTCCTTCGGGAAACGTTATTGTTCACCCCTTCACTTTTCACCTATGGCTTTCTTTTTTGCTTCCTCTATTTTTTGCTGCCTCTTATTGGCGTCGTTACGGGGTCAGTGTTGGTGTTTCCCAAATGGAGATATGTGTGGCATTTCCCAAGGGTCATGCTAAAGGATTCCTTAAAAATCCACCAATGGATCTTCCTGTACTTTTTTCATTGCTTTTCTGTACTCTGCCTGTCAGAGTATGTCGACGCCCTTGGATACGGTCATTCATATCACTCGTGGAAAGAACCACATCCATACCACCCGTGGAAAGAACCGCATCTATATCGCTAGTGGAGGGAACCGCATCCATTGTTTTAACTGCACACACATCGCAGCACGTGCAACCGCTGCTACAGAAACTCAGAGTGAAGAACAACCAGCGATGGCAGAGCAGCAATAGACCATTCGCAGTATTCCCAAGCGCCCCGGCCCGCACTCAAGGAATCATGGGAATGGTGTTAATTCAGCTCCCTAGTGATCGCTAATTTTCGACCAACTCCATGGTTACACAGTTTTTGAGCGTAATTCGAGGTCACCCTGAACAAGCACCTGATATACCCCAAGGACCTGTCTTTTAAAATTGCTTGTCAATGTCAACATTTTTCATACTGCGCATACGATCCACCTTTCAACCTGGCTGCGCTGCAGAAATCTCTTACAATATTATCATTCTCGTGATTGTTGTTTGAGCAGAAATTGCTTAAAAAGCCGATAATTCACAACAACAAAAACCAGGATTTAGCTCGGAGTCCATGGGGCTGTTTATAGCATTTTTAGCGTTTCAAACTTAATATCAATATAAAAATAATGTAAAAGATTTCTGCAGCCCATCCAGGTTGAAGGGTGGACAGCATGCACAGTATCAAAAACGCTGACATTGAGGAGAAATTTTAAAAGCGATATAACAGGTCATTGGGGTATATCAGGCACTTGTTCAGGGTGATTCCGAATTATGCTCAAAACCTGCGTAACCAGAAATGGTGTTGAAATTACCGATCACTAAGGGGCTGAAGGAACACCAGTCCCATGATTCTTTTAGCACGGGCCGGGGCACTTGGGGGACATAGCAAATGGTCTATTGAGCACGCCCGCATTCTACTGCACTGCGGTGCAACACTTCCTAGATAACAAAGCCGTAGTGCTGAATAAGAGGGCGCCTTCAAAGAAGGCCAACGCTGGGCACAGATTGGACACAACAATTGCATCAACATCCGGCTCAAACATGACTTGAAGCTGAGCGCTGACGCAGTGCTGGTTTCTAATCTCTGTCCAGTGTTGGCTTTCTCTGATTAAGCCATCTCATTCAGCACTATGGCTTTGTTATCTAGCATTGCGTCAACGTTCGGCTCAAACTTGACTCGAAGCCGAGCGCTGACGCAGGGCTAGTTTCAAATCTGCGTCCAGCATTGGCCTTCTCTGATTAAGCCATCCCATTTAGCATTACGGCTTTGTTATCTAGGAGGTGTTGCGCGGCGCCTCCTCCTCTCTGGCTCCACGCCAGCTGTGCGTGTGACTTTGCCAGAAATGAAAGAGCTCGTGACGAAAACCCGGCGGTGTCTGTCAGTTTGTCACCACCGAGGTGAAAGGGAGAGGTTGATGCGTGCTCACATCAGCGCTTCAGACCAAGGGGAGCATCGCATGTGACAACCGACAAACAAAAGACACCGCCGGGTTTTCGTCAAAACGAGCGTTCTAATGCCAACGCATTAAAAGAATGGGGCTGCGCTTCTGTGGTGCTCAGCCACAGACTACGTTGAAATGCCGTAGCATTATGAAGTTTCTTTCTTAAGCAGGCCACATTCTGCTGGATAAATTAAGACATGCCTCGCTTCTTCACTAGGCCCTCGGTCAGAGCAGAACGAGCATACCTGCTTTCTGTCCATAGCCAAATTTTGTTCTCTCTTCTCTGGTATCACAATGAACACGCTGAGCATCAATGAGCTTTCACTTCTGTTCAGCAAAGCCCCCTTCAGTCTGTCCCTTTCTATTGCAAGCACTATACAGTATAGACCACTCACAACGTAACCGCTTATAGTGCAGGACCGGGTATAACGCGTTTTTTTTAAACCACCGGTTCGCCTCCCATAGAACTCCATGTAATTACATACCGCTTAAAATGCAGGCGCGCTAAGGGAGGTATCGGTTGTAGTGCCGTTTCTGAAACAGCCCGCCGACCGCGCCGCCGACCGGAGCAGAGAGCACGCTTCCCTGTGCGACACTAGACAACGGCGCTGACGGCGCTAGCCGCAAGCAGCACTCGCGGGGCAAGGAGGTTGCTCGAAGAAGCTGGGAGAAGCGAAGAGAGACGCACGCACGTGTCGTTCACGTGCGTGCGTCCCTCCGCTGGGTTGGAAAACAACCGCAACGACAGACCAATCGCAGGTCGAGGAGAAGTGTTCGCGCGCGTTTCATGCCGGCCGCAGGCCGGCTGCTTCTAGCCGCAAACATGGCGTCGGTTGTGATCGTCGACGTAGACGGCGTTCGTTCCGCATAAAAGCGCTATCCTTGACTGTGAATTTTCGTTGTGTGTTGCTATGATAACCCAGCACGTACTAGAAGGGAAGATCCACCTACTCGTGCGGCGATGTCGTGGCGGCACGCTCAAGACGGCAGAAACGCCTGTGTCGTCGTGTTCGTTTACTTCGACTACAGTGGTGATTTCCAAGCATTTGTGTCCTTGAACATCGCCCGGATTTCTTATTTGGCGCATTTCATGCGTGTGCTCAAGTTAAAGGTATTACTGGCGCGTACCGTATGAAGGATGCGAATTTTCACCCGCTTTCATCACCGGAGAAAGGTGGTTAGGGTTAGCAATCCTGACTGCTCACAACGTCCGTCCGCAACCCGCGACGCCGTTAAAAGGCTGCGCCAGGCAAAAGCCGCTCATTTCTTTCAAAATGTGTGACAGACTTGAGAGAGAAGTGTACTAGTCTGGTGAAATAAAGACTTTCCTCAAACTAAGCTTTATTTTTCATCTAACATAAAATAAATTCTTTTACAAAGGTAAGTTATCTCATGGCTTGTATTTTGACCTGAAAAAATGATGTTTTGGTTATAGCGCGGTATCGCTTATAGTGCGGATTTTCGCGACTCCCGCGACATACGTTATATGCGGTTTACACTGTACCAGCAAGCGTATGACTTATATTATAAACCCCTCTTGAAAGTGTGACGAAAATGCAGTCTTGTACACGTTACTAAAAAAAGTAATCGATTACAATTACTATTACTCTTGGCTAAAAAGTATTCGATTAGATTACTTGATTACTCAAGCAAAAGTAATTGGACATTACTTAAAGAAGTAATCGTTACTTTTCCGATTACTTTATTGTGTGAAGACACATCTTAAGCGCTCATAACAATGAACTACTTCCAACCTATATTTCACATTTGCACAAGTATTGAAGAAGAAAAACTGGCCCCCTCTTCGTGGTCGTTGCACCTTCACAATGCGGACACAAGCATAGAATTCGTTTCAAGACGTTTAATGATTTGGGCGTTCGCCAGTGTGTGTGTTTGTGTGTGGGGGGGGGGGGGGGAGAGGAGAGCTAAGGGGGAAGGGTTCTCGCTCAAAGTTTGCGTCGCTCATTTTATTATTCGCATGTGGATGAGCTCGCATGTTATACAAAAGAGCAGCAGCTCCAGGATTTGAAACGGATCATGTGCAGTATCCATTAGCGGAAGAGATCACCCCGACCACTTCTCAATTCGAAACATTGCTTGTCACCAAGACCACGTAGGGGAAATGGGGAAATATTTCAACTGCCTTTCTTATATTTTGCATCCGCTTTAGGCATTCTTCCGTTCTGGTTCTCCTACGGGCTGCGAGTAGGTACCGTATTTACTCACACAATGAACGCACTCGCGTAATGAACGCACCCCCCAAGTCGGCTCTCAAAATTTCGACTTTTTTTTTCACTCGCGTAATAAACGCACCCCCAACTCGGACGTCAAAATTTTGACCCCCTCCCCCCACGCGCGCGGAATGAATGCACTTTTCTATCCTGGTGCAGCGAGGTCGCGAATGCATGGGCAGCGTGGGCGAACAAAACGCCTTGCAAAAGGTGTTAAAAAAATTCGCAAAGATCCAAGGGAAGCAAGAAAAAAAAACGTGGAGAGGAGCTTTTTTATTTTTGCACAAGCCAGTCTGGACTTTGGGTTCGCGCGCCGCCGCGCGCAAGGGGGTAAGAAAGAAAAGCGGAGAAGCGCTCTAAGCGAACGAAACAGCTTGCGAAAGGCGGCAAAAAGAAAAAAAAAACACCGAACTAAAAAAACAAAGAAAAGTTGTTGTTTTTTTTTTTTACGCGACCCCCGTAAACAAACTGCTAGCGCAGTTTGTTTACGGGGGTCGCGCGCCGCGCGCATGGAGGTAAGAAAGAGGAGCGGAGAAGCCCTCTAAGCAAACGAAACAGCTTGCCAAAGGCGGCAAAAAGAAAAAAAAAACCACGGAACTGAGAAAAAAAGAAAGAAAAACAGGAGCTTTTTTTTTTTCTTCTTTTTCTTTTGCACAGCGCAGTTATGGGAGGTCGTACGTCGCACGCAAGGAGATAAGAAAGATAAGCGGAGAGCCCTCGTTTAAACAACGCCTAAGCAAACAAAACAGCTTGCGAAAGACCGCAAAAAAAGAAAAAAGAAAACCCAAGGAACTGAGAAAAAGAAAACAAATAGGAGTTTTTTTTTTGCACAGCTTATTTTGGTGATGGGGTCGGGCGCCGCGCGCAAAGAGATAAGGAGTGTGATTTTTCAGGATAAAAGGTCCTTTAATTATGCGAGTAAATACGGACGCAAAAATTTTACTTCGCGTAATGAACGCCCCCCCCCCCTAACTTTGCATCGATGTTTCGGAAAAAAAAGTGCGTTCATTCTGCGAGTAAATACGGTATGCCCTAAGCAGGATTTTTTTAATTTTTTTTTTATTTATGTGTGTGTGTGCGCGAGGGGGCTAGTTTGAACGAAGGACTCACAAAGCTACATTCTGCTTCCTCAAACTTTGCCCTGAATGGCCTTTGCCACGCACTGTGGCTTCCCTGGAGCTTCCCTTCTCCCAGCCCCAGCTCAAAAAAAAAAACAAAAAAAAAACAAAAAAAAAACGGACATTCCACAGAAACTGTACATAGAAAGAGATTGACCTCGTTCCCTACAGCTCCCCAAAGATCTTTCTTTTTTTCCGTTCGAAAAAAAAGAAGCAAATTTTATTTTGTCATTTCATAAAAAAAAGGCGTGTCCCGGGGGGGGGCTGGGGGGGGGGGGTCCCGTGGACAAATTGTAACGGTTACAAGTAATTTTATTACTTCAAAAAGTAATCAGATTACTCTTGTGATTACTGCCTAATGAAAGTAATGAACTGAATACAAAATTACTCCAAAAAGTAATTGATTACAAGTAATTTGGTTACTTGTAATGCGTACGGTACAAGTCTGCGAAAATGCGACGGAGCCTCGGCTGCACGAGTCCTCGTGCAGCAAAACCAAAACTCAAAGCCACCCGTTTGCACTATTCGCACATTCTTCGGTGTCAGTTAGTGAAAGAAATTTATTGCAACTAAAGAAAAAGTGCAAGCGAGCTGGTTCAATACCGACATGGTAATCCAGGAGCAAGGTAAAAAGAGACCGGACAACACCAAGTTTTGTGTCGTCCGTCCTGTTTTTCCCCCCCTTTTTGGGTTACGAAGTAGAAATTGATTGCATTTCTTAATCATCGCTTCTCAAGTCCCTCCTCTCCCCCCCTCCCCCCCTTGGCATGGTGGTTGAGCATCAGGCTTACAATCGAAAGGTCATATTGTGTGGTTCCTTTTCGGGGACACGTGGAATTAGTATGCAAGGGGTTAAAAAAGGGCTGCACACGCCCAACCAACCGTTGTCGTGGTCTGTGTCCAGTTCGTCTCCAGACGAGACGGTCAGCAGGGTCCTGGCGGGGGCCTGGGGGCTTGCGGCGGGACTTGTGTCGGGAGACTTGTTGCTGTGGCAGCTGCCCACGCTGTCCGAATCGCTGCCTGGGCACGTGCCCCAAGTCCTGCCTGCCACCTTGGCTCCGGCACCGGCTACAAGAGACAGGGCCAACATCAGCCGGGAACTTGTCGCATCTACAGGCAGTTTACGAGTGCTATTTGGGCATAAAAGAAATTGGATAAACCAATAAACGGAGTGCAATTAAACTTTTCAAAAAATCGTTGTTAGGTGAAGCATTTATCATACTAAACATTTTTATGAGTGTAGGTTTCAGGCAAAAAAATGTATGCCTAAAAAACTGTTCTTATTTTTTTTCTATGCACAGGGAGGAAAACAGCAAAAACTGTCCAACTGGTGCTGGATGACCTGTGGGGGATGGGAGAAAACAGAACAAAAACACGCAACTCTGCCTTCTCCTCCCGGCGAGAGAGTCGCCAATTTTCCCCCGATAAAACCTTGTCGGCGTCATACCGCACCCACTGTGAGACAGTATTGAGACCCTGGTCCATAGCCATCTGGGAGGGTGTCACAATTTTCCTCTGTTCCACCTGTCCTCCAATTATGCTAGTTAGTTATACTTCATTCAATATTCCCTGAATAATTTCCCCAAATCTTCTACCTTTCTCTTTGTGATTGCAATCCTTTTCTCCTCCGTTTTTCCATCCGTGCCAGTCAAGCCCATTTTTTGCTGGCGAGGATGGAGGATGAACCACATGTGGTGCTTCACCACAGTTGTTAGGCTCATACCCAAGGCAGCTGCTACGCAAATTTGAAGTACTGTTCTAACGGTTAGCATCCAAAAGAATCCAAAGCAAGCATGCAAGCCCAGCTTCCACGGCGGTCCCCACCTTCCAAACCAAGCCTGGCATCCAAGGCGGCGCCATCCAGAGGCTCGTCATTTGCTACGACCGCTTCGTGGATTCTTCGAGACTCCGTCCTGACAAGAACAAGAAAAGGCAAAATCAGGCATTGCAAAACTACCATATACATAATGTTTTTTTTTCCGGCCTTACAAATTTATTTAAAGAAAGCCGTGAAAGCTACACTAATGTGATCTATGCAGATGAGCTATGTGGCTAGGGGGCTAATTGTAGAATAATTATATTAAATCTGTCAATGAACTTTTTAATTAATGAAAATTAACATATAATTCTGCAATAAAACTGTGATGGCAGAGGCCAGCTGGTGTAGATTTACCATTTTCTTAAACTACCTGAGACTGGGTAGAGAATGAGAAGAATCCAAAGTGGACAAGAAAAGAACAGAATGACAGGAGGCAACACCTCAATTGAGACGTTGCCTTCTGTCATTCTGTTCCTCTCTCTTCTACTTCGGATTCCACTCGTTCCTCACCCAGTCTGAGGTGGTTTAAAAAGATGGTAAATATGGTTGTAATTGGAAACTTGCTGAGCAATCACCAAAAGCAACCAAATCTGTCAATTTTAGGGAGTGCTAAAGTCATTATCCATGCAACAGCTTCAAAGCTGGCAATGCAAAAATGAGAATAATAGGCGTGCAATGGTGTTACCGTCTGCATACAATGTCTCGCCGTTTCTACGGATCTCACGCACCTGGTGTCGGTGGTGTACGGCTCAAAGGTGAGCAGCTGCGGTTCCGTGGGTCGCCCCAACGGAATCCGCCTGACGAACTCCATGTACTGCGACCCTGGCTCGTACATCCGACTGCTTTCGCAGAGCGTTTGGAACTGAAACCATGGGAAACACACTAGAACATGGCACCCAAGAGCCCAAACTCAAAAGGCCATGCAACGAAGGCTTTTACTTTCAATTGACCAATCTCACGAAACACGTGCAGAAAGAACGAAGTTCTCTCAGTGGAACCTCGATTATGCATCCCCGGTTTATGCGACATCCTGCATTTTATGACGAATTTGACCGGTCCCAACGAACTCCCCATAGAAATAATGTATCAAAACTTCGGTTTGCACAACGCGTGATCCTACGCGTCATGCAAACCGAACTTTTACCTCTAGCAAACATACAATTCAAAGCATCGAAGCTACAGCCCGTAGGGAGCCACAAATAGATCTTGATGAAAGCTAATCATGCTACTAATCGTTTTAAAGACTTCAAAGTCATCTTACCTATAGCTAATCATGCTCTACTGAAGACTTTATTAACTGGATGACTTCATGTCAAATCAAGCAGGCAAAAATAAATAAATTTTAATTTTGCAAAAAAAAAAAAACGTTTTTTGCATTATTTTTAAAACAATAATGGGGGGCCGTGAATCGCAAGTTTGTCAGAGATTTCGTTCTCGATTTACAGAGCTCGAGGTCAAAGAGTTTGAGAACCCCTGCTCCAGAGCAAACCAGAGAGCACTCCTTAGAGACCACATAAATGTGAGGATTCATACAGACCTGAACGGGAGCTGGTGCGGACACAGTATGCTGCAGCTGGAAGTAGGCAACCGTCACCGCCTTCATCGTCTGGTCGCACTGGCACATGAGCTCTCGCACTTGCTGGAGCACCTCCATCTGCAGGCACAGAGGGCGCCACATGCTTCAACTCACCATCCTATGTACAGAGCGTGTATAGATAATTGGGAGCCACGCACGAACAAACTCAGGCACAAACCCGTACGGTTTCAGTTTTGGTTTTCTCCCTGCTACACTGAACTGGGGTGTCAATCTTTTTTTTTATTTTCGCGTCACTTTTTTGTGGCATGTAGAACTTTTCATGTAGGCGATTTCTGTTTTGGTGTGCTTCTTCGTTGTTAGAATTGCAGATCTATGTTGTTCAACCTTGCGCTTTGTGGTGAATGCCAAGATATAGAAATTACTAATGAACTCTGTATTCGACGTTAGTGAAAACAAGAAAGTTACGGTTCTGAATAAAAAAAAGGCCGAGTAAAGCCGCTCAAAACAGTGACTTCAAGGTGCGAGGTTGAGGTGCCATTGCTTATCATCGCATCTCGAGAAACATGATACGAGGAAAATGTCTTAGGTTGAAGGTGTGCAGACGTCAATCAACTTTTTGCCCTTGTAAACAATGTATCTTTGATGAGTAAATATTCTTCACAAAGAAAGCATGCTACAGCGTTACTTGAAACCAGAACTCACGTTCGATGTGCGGGAAAAAAAGGCCCGGCACACAAAGGGTTAAAGGAACACTGGCAGGGCATTTATGCTTACCAAGGTTTTTTATTTGTACATGGCATATGAGGGCTCAATTACCCAGAACACAATTTGCAGCTCGAAATTAGTTTTTTTTCTGCCCAAAAACTGCCGGTCGAGAAGTGGCCAGTTTGAGTAGAGCTCACTCTCTACTCTGGGGTCACGTGCGGTCCAGACACACATACCATATAATCAAAGTCATCGAAGGCATACACTCAATATTACAAATAAAAAAAAATATGAAACCCATTTTTTCTGGCTTCTAAAAAGCTGCTAATATATTCTCTGCATAAGTCTCAAGATGGCATTGTATCGCGGGAATCGCGGGTTGGACGGCGGGATAGAGCGGACCTCAGGATTGTTGTCCACTTCAGGATTGTCGTCCACCTCAGAATTGTATACTTTAGGATTGTCGTCCATGGTACGAGCAAACCTTTCTAGCTTCAAAAGAGAATTCGTTTGCCGCGATAAATTAGAATTTATTCCGCACGAAACACCCGACCGCCAAGCTGATTCGCACACAAACATTGCGGAGTCGCCGCCCATTCTATTGGCTGCAGACATCGCTCGTCTTACGAACACGAATTGATAAAAGCCTAGAAAACGCACAAACGTCAAGCGTGACATGCTTTTTGACATTTGCGTATTTCGAGCGACGTGCGAGATGTGCGTTTTTCGTCTGTTAAGCACAACCACAAAAACGAAGGGAAAAAAATTATGCAGTCAGGTGTAGCCACATGACTTCCAGCAACTCCCTCCTCCTCAACATTTCTCCTCCCTCTCCAGTCTGGTTTCGGTTTCAAGCAGTTGCATGTTTTTACTTCATTAAAAACATACATGATGTTGTAGAAAAATATTGATTCGGTAGTTTTCTGACACCATAATCTCCTGGCAAAATATAAAAAATTATTTTGGAGGAGGTGCCAGTGCCTTTTCAAGGCATGCAGCGCATGGAGAGTCCTGAAAATCAGGCCGCTCCACGGCCAATGAGACTGCAGCATCAGCCAATAAGAATGCTGAAGGACGAATCACGAACCAGGAAATGTGAACATAAGAATTGTCGCTCCCTGCGCTTCTTAAGCTATTAATGACCATACCATACAATTGCCAACTTTTCTTACGTGTCTAAGAGGCTACCATCAACGCTACCATAGTAGTGAAGTGTGTTCCTGCACAGCATCATTTTCAGTGTTAAAGTGTGGTGCTCAATGGTGTGTGCACTGAGTTATACGGCATTATGTATGCTGTATCGTAATCATAGTGCCAATTCTGTCGAGTCTTATTTTCGACACACTCGGGCTTATACAGGGTGCCTCCCCACAAATGTATGAGGATTTTTATTTACCTCAAAAATACCCTATGCATTGCCGAAAGCTCAGTCTCTACCCGAATGTACTGCTAGCGGTTTGTACCAAGTGCCAAAGCTTTAAAACTAACCGTTATCTAAATCAAAAGTTATAAGTGATTTTCTGAAAATTTCGTTAGGAAAATGGTGGCAAATGGAACATTCGAAAACGTGGAGGTGAATGGCATCAGATTTCTAAAATGAACCCCATTTCCCATTTAAATTTTAAAAAAATCACTCATAACTCTTTAATAGTGTTGTGCAAATATTCTAATTTTCGAATAGTAGTTTTGAATAATACGCTATTCTATATTCTTTTCGAGATGACCTGTGATATTCTTACCAATCTAAAGTTGGTTGCGGTAGGTTAGCCTCTAGCACCGTTGAGCGCGCTTCTTGCCAAGCACCGGTGTACTACGGAGAAGCAACACTTGCAGAAGCGAGCTCTGCGAGTATTGCTTCTCTGCAGTGCACTGGTGCTCGGTAAGAAGCATGCTCACTCGGGGCTAACCCGCCAAAATCAACATTTCATAAAGCATAAATAATTCTAAAGTTGGTCACGGCGGGTTAGCCTCTAGCACCGTTGAGCGCGCTTCTTGCCAAGCATCGGTGTACTACGGAGAAGCAACACCCACAGAAGCGAGCTCTGCGAGTGTTGCTTCTCTGCAGCGCACTGGTGCTCGGTAAGAAGCATGCTCACCCGGGGCTAACCCGCCAAAATCAACATTTCATAAAGCACAAATAATTCTAAAGTTGGTCACGGCGGGTTAGCCTTTAGCACCGTTGAGCGCGCTTCTTGCCAAGCACCGGTGTACTACGGAGAAGCAACACCCGCAGAAGCGAGCTCTGCGAGTGTTGCTTCTCTGCAGTGCACTGGTGCTCGGTAAGAAGCATGCTCACCCGGGGCTAACCCGCCAAAATCAACATTTCATAAAGCACAAATAATTCTAAAGTTGGTCACGGCGGGTTAGCCTCTAGCACCGTTGAGCGCGATTCTTGCCTAGCACCGGTGTACTACGGAGAAGCATGCTCACCCGGGGCTAACCCGCCAAAATCAACATTTCATAAAGCACAAATAATTCTAAAGTTGGTCACGGCGGGTTAGCCTCTAGCACCGTTGAGCGCGCTTCTTGCCAAGCACCGGTGTACTACGGAGAAGCAACACCCGCAGAAGCGAGCTCTGCGAGTGTTGCTTCTCTGCAGTGCACTGGTGCTCGGTAAGAAGCATGCTCACCCGGGGCTAACCCGCCAAAATCAACATTTCATAAAGCATAAATAATTCTAAAGTTGGTCACGGCAGGTTAGCCTCTAGCACCGTTGAGCGCGATTCTTGCCGAGCACCGGTGTACTACGGAGAAGCAACACCCGCAGAAGCGAGCTCTGCGAGTGTTGCTTCTCTGCGGTGCACTGGTGCTCGGTAAGAAGCATGCTCACCCGGGGCTAACCCGCCAAAATCAACATTTCATAAAGCACAAATAATTCTAAAGTTGGTCACGGCGGGTTAGCCTCTAGCACCGTTGAGCGCACTTCTTGCCAAGCACCGGTGTACTACGGAGAAGCAACACTTGCAGAAGCGAGCTCTGCGAGTGTTGCTTCTCTGCGGTGCACTGGTGCTCGGTAAGAAGCATGCTCACCCGGGGCTAACCCGCCAAAATCAACATTTCATAAAGCACAAATAATTCTAAAGTTGGTCACGGCGGGTTAGCCTCTAGCACCGTTGAGCGCGCTTCTTGCCAAGCACCGGTGTACTACGGAGAAGCAACACTTGCAGAAGCGAGCTCTGCGAGTATTGCTTTTCTGCAGTGCACTGGTGCTCGATAAGAAGCATGCTCACCCTGGGCTAACCCGCCAAAATCAATATTTCATAAAGCACAAATAATTCTAAAGTTGGTCACGGCGGGTTAGCCTCTAGCACCGTTGAGCGCGCTTCTTGCCAAGCACCGGTGTACTACGGAGAAGCAACACCCGCAGAAGCGAGCTCTGCGAGTGTTGCTTCTCTGCAGTGCACTGGTGCTCGGTAAGAAGCATGCTCACCCGGGGCTAACCCGCCAAAATCAACATTTCATAAAGCATAAATAATTCTAAAGTTGGTCACGGCAGGTTAGCCTCTAGCACCGTTGAGCGCGCTTCTTGCCAAGCACCGGTGTACTACGGAGAAGCAACACCCGCAGAAGCGAGCTCTGCGAGTGTTGCTTCTCTGCAGTGCACTGGTGCTCGGTAAGAAGCATGCTCACCCGGGGCTAACCCGCCAAAATCAACATTTCATAAAGCACAAATAATTCTAAAGTTGGTCACGGCGGGTTAGCCTCTAGGACCGTTGAGCGCGATTCTTGCCAAGCACCGGTGTACTACGGAGAAGCAACACCTGCAGAAGCGAGCTCTGCGAGTGTTGCTTCTCTGCAGTGCACTGGTGCTCGGTAAGAAGCATGCTCACCCGGGGCTAACCCGCCAAAATCAACATTTCATAAAGCATAAATAATTCTAAAGTTGGTCACGGCGGGTTAGCCTCTAGCACCGTTGAGCGCGCTTCTTGCCGAGCACCGGTGTACTACGGAGAAGCAACACCCGCAGAAGCGAGCTCTGCGAGTGTTGCTTCTCTGCAGTGCACTGGTGCTCGGTAAGAAGCATGCTCACCCGGGGCTAACCCGCCAAAATCAACATTTCATAAAGCACAAATAATTCTAAAGTTGGTCACGGCGGGTTAGCCTCTAGGACCGTTGAGCGCGATTCTTGCCAAGCACCGGTGTACTACGGAGAAGCAACACCTGCAGAAGCGAGCTCTGCGAGTATTGCTTCTCTGCAGTGCACTGGTGCTCGGTAAGAAGCATGCTCACCCGGGGCTAACCCGCCAAAATCAACATTTCATAAAGCATAAATAATTCTAAAGTTGGTCACGGCAGGTTAGCCTCTAGCGCCGTTGAGCGCGCTTCTTGCCAAGCATTGGTGTACTACGGAGAAGCAACACCCGCAGAAGCGAGCTCTGCGAGTGTTGCTTCTCTGCAGTGCACTGGTGCTCGGTAAGAAGCATGCTCACCCGGGGCTAACCCGCCAAAATCAACATTTCATAAAGCACAAATAATTCTAAAGTTGGTCACGGCGGGTTAGCCTCTAGCACCGTTGAGCGCGATTCTTGCCGAGCACCAGTGTACTACGGAGAAGCAACACCCGCAGAAGCGAGCTCTGCGAGTGTTGCTTCTCTGCAGTGCACTGGTGCTCGGTAAGAAGCATGCTCACCCGGGGCTAACCCGCCGAAATCAACGTTTCATAAAGCACAAATAATTCTAAAGTTGGTCACGGCGGGTTAGCCTCTAGCACCGTTGAGCGCGCTTCTTGCCAAGCACCGGTGTACTACGGAGAAGCAACACTTGCAGAAGCGAGCTCCGTGGGTGTTGCTTCTCTGCAGTGCACTCGTGCTCGGTACAAAGCACACTCACCAGGGCTAACCTGCCGAAATCAACATTTCATAAAGCACAAATATAGCAATCCCGTGCATAGGAGAAAAGCACACTTTTAAAGCGAGATGGTGCATGCACGCGATCACTATTTGACCACTATTTGATTCGAATTCACTTCAAACTAAAAATCCACTATTTGCACACGATCACTTTTTAATAATACAATTTGTTCTGAAACTCTGGAACCTGGTTCGGACCTCTAGCGCTACATTTGGGCAGAGGCGAGCGTTCGGCGATGCATCGTTTATTTTTGTGGTGAAAGAAAACCTTGCAAATTTTTCGGGGTGGGGGGGACATTTCAAAAGAGTTTTAGTAAATTTTTTAAAGAGTGCCTTTGAGAAAGGCAGAATTCTATCCGAGTCTTCCACTCGGATGCGCACGTGTTCAGCTAGCAGTCTCAATGAAGGGCTTCTCCCTGCCTCACCAAAGCACTGCCAAAGTGACAGCCAGTAGCTCCCCTTGTCGTAAAAACTCCTAAAGTTGACAATGAGCACGTGCACAAGTAGCGCTCCCGACCTTTGTCCTCTCGAGCGACAGCAGCCTCTCGTTGGCCTCTACGACGCAGGCCTTGTAAGTGGTCTCGGCCTCACGGGCCTTCTGGAGCGCGTCGTCTTCCAGGCGCCGCTTCCGCTCGCAGCGGCTGCTCCCTCCATCCCCACCCTCCTGCGCCTCGGCCGCCCGGTGCGCAGACTCCTTGGCCTTCTCGTGGTCCTGCTGACGCTGCACGTACAGGGCCCGGGCCTTGCGCACGTTCGTCTCCAGCTCTTGCTGCACACGGGAACGGCACATGTCAGTCACGCCTGGATGCCCCGCTCCTTCAAACAAAGTCCCGCACTGTTTTCCTCACACCGTATGCACCAATGGTTCTCAACCACTAGTGATTAAGAACTTCAAAGAACTTCGAAGCTCTGAAACAGAGAATAATCACCCCTAACCACTCGGTACATGTGGTTTGGTCTACATATAGCTCTGTGGCACAGCCAGCATCCATAAAAAAAAGTTTTATTCTTCTGCTCGACCGATGATAAAGGGCGTTGGGGACCCTAAGAAGGCCTTCGGGGACCCCAAAAAGTTTCTGAACACCTATTTGAGAACGACCGATATTCGCGCCGTTTACCAACAAACCCGCATGTACCCACACCAGGTGTGGGCACCGCACGGACGCAGGAACCAGATTCCAGAGAGGTGAAGCAGTGCCACCTTAGCGACGCCACCGCAGCGGCGCAACGTCAGAAAAGCGAGCTGGTCTATAGGGTGCCTGCACAAGACCATGATGCGACACGCTTCTGATACGAAATCTCTGCCAGAATCCATGTCGGTGACGTTCGTCTGCTTTCACCCTATGTCCGCCGTGTGTTATTCTATGGCAGAAGCAGCGTGTCCTCCTTCCAGATTACTCGAGTTCTTTCACGTCGTGAACGAGTGCGCCAGCCAAGGTGTTCCATCAGGAACATAAAGGAGCATCGGCTAGTATACTTGATTTTTACATATATACCAGTCTTTATTTAGACTTCAGAGGAGCTCTTGCTTGAGAAGTCAGCTTGTTGGAGTCGAAATGGCCCTGACAAATGCCCCCGGGATGTCTTGTTCACTCAAACATTGTCCCAGCACTGTTTTCCGGGATGTCTTGTTCACTCAAACATTGTCCCAGCACTGTTTTCCACAAACCATAGAGGGCGCTTCTATGAAATGCCTTCTCCCTTTCGGTAAGCCATGTTCTGCCACGTTGACAAACAGCGTCCGCCACTTTCGCATTTTGTTTAAGCGCAGACGCTTAGTTAATGGCGCTGTTTCTCATGTTGGTAAAACGCTGAAGCATGGAAAGTGGCTCCGTCAATGACAAAACTCGGTAAGTACGATCGGGGAAGTATTTGGGTTGCATAAATCCGAGTTTATTTCGATTCACTTCCTTTCAGAGTATATCGGGCAGCATGTACCAGGGTCCCTGTGGCCGCCAACAGGTCGACTCCTTCATCGCCGGCTCGTCTTAAATCCGAGTAAAGAATGGTATGTGGAAAAATAGAGTACCAGGTGATGCCCCTTTTGTCTTTGACTACTACGGCTATTCACTTCAAACTTAAAATGCACTATTTGCATATGTCTAGCCTTGTTCATAATAGGTGCAACTGGTATATACCTGAGTAACTACAACATACGTCTTCATTCTTAACCGTCCACATCCAATAAACACATTCCTTTTTTAAAGGGGCGGTGCAGCGATATCCAATTGGAAGGTTTTTCACTTCACACGAGCTTACTGGCACTAGTGGGACTCCAGGATACTCGGACGCGACGCCACTGGCCAAGAAACTCCTTTGTTGCAGTGTAATTTCAAGGACAAAAGCGAGCGTTTTCATTCAATCTCTCCTTTGCAAAACTTGATGACGTAGCTGGGTGATCGCAGTACCTCCCAGTGACAATATTTGAATGTGGCTCATAGATTGGAGCCGAGCATTGCGTGGGCACTCGATTTGGGCTCGTGATAATCGATAGATCGAGAAGCATTCGGGTAGCGGCCCGTGTCCAATCACTGCAATGACGACAGTAGTCGAACCATAACAATGTCTGGAACTCAGCACGTGTCCTATGCTTTGCCGACCCCAGCGCGTGGCTATGATCAACATTGGCTGCATATAATCGGGTCCAGACCACGTGGCCACTTGTTTTGGCTGTGAGTTGAGGTAGTAAACGCTGCTCATTGTCTTTAATTTTTTCTGCGACTTTGATTGCGTGTGGTGTAAAAAGTAACGGATGTTACTTTTACACCACGTTAAAGACGTGTGAACGGACGTTTCACAGGTCATTAATGTCAGGGATCCGTTGTAAGTGCTATTCACGCAAACTAGAAAAATCATTGTATCGCTCCTTTAATCAAAAACAAGTTCGTCACATTGTGCCTCCCGTCCTCCGACCTTTCTAAGCTTGTGAACAGCCACAGGTTGTTTTTCGTTGTTTAGTTTTGTGTCACTTTTTTTTCCACACGCAAGTATATCCTTGCCACCTGATGAGAACGGTTTTCGTCAAATTAATGCCGCAGTTGCATTCCAGAACAGCGTCAGTTACCAAGAGTGCCCATGCAACAAAATGGCGGCATCAGTAGCTTCTGCCACAAACAAATGTCTCACTAGACAGTTTTTTCATGTCTTGCTCGAAAAGTGTACTAACGAACATTAAAAGGCATCCCTTAAGTTGATCTCCAGGATTAGCACATTCCAAGTATCAACAAAAATTATGGCAGTACTTTTTATGGCAACCTTTCAGTCGTAAGGGAAAAAACAGAAAACCGGCGATCGGATATTCCCGCTAAATGTTCCACACTCTGTATGTACGCAAATGAATGACCACTGGGGGGAAGTTAGACAACAGGGGAAAATGGTGCCTCTGGTCACATAGCCTTAGAGTGACTCCAGTTATTTGTTCCTAATGCAAACACCTCGAGGACCTGCATTCAGGCCTACCACTGGTTAGGAACGCTTCAATTTGTAAAAGGTACTATAAGAAAGGGTGACGCACACAAAAGCAAAATGAACTCACCATTCTCTTCAGCTCTCTGTGCCAGATCTCTTTCAATTGTTTGCGTGCCTTTTCGTGCTCGTTTCTCCGAGCCGTCAGTGGCTTGAGGAGGGGTGTGGGGGGGGGGGAGGGGGCGATGAAAAAAGATGTCAGTCAGACTCAAAAAAGTAGAGGCGCACCTTCAACCTACCGCTCAAATGCATCATATGCAGAATGCGTTAGTGATATATACAGAAATCTGGGAAGCATAAAAGCATGACGTCAAGTTACGTTGTAATGTCAAGTCATGGTGTGACGGGACGCCGACCATAGTGGCATCCTGCTAAATTTAGAGGGATGTTAGCCCACCGAATTTAGTTAATGATCGCCTGTATGGCTATGGCTATGGCTCTTGCCACGGCTACACAAAACCTAACTTAGCTTCCATTAAAACGCATCCTGCATTCAAAAGAGAAACCAAGTAAAAAAGTAAAGCAGCTATTCAGTGACTCACTTCAATGAACTTGTGATCATGAAGCAGAGTGCAGTTGGAAAGGCAGTTGCTGGAGTTGTCCAGGTCTTGGTCGATGGCGGTGCAGTAGATTGATTGAAACGGCAGGAAGCTCTAAGGAAAAATGAGACAGAACCGACTCCAGAAGATTGACAAGGGGGTCTCGCACGAAGGAGAGATTACGCACAGACACGAAGAAACACGGGTACGAGGGAGGTTTCGTAAGCGAAGCCATACCTCTTCTTTTAGGATGGGTCGCATTGTCTGGGCCAGCTTGAGAAGGTTCCTGGCATGGTCTGCCTCTGGAGAGAGGAAATATCAAGAACTTTTTAGCTAGAATGAGCCAACCGCTTAATTTAAGTTACACTCAACTCACAAAAAAAATTACAGGAAAATCCATTGATGGATTGTTAGGGGATGCATTAGCATGACCCTTGGGGAACGCCACACACTTCCCCTTTTGGGAATTGCTAACGCTGACCTCTTTACTTTTCTGTTTTGGCTTTCTCTTTTGCTGCCTCTATTTGCAGCTGCCTCTTTTTGGCTTCGTTACAGGGCCAGTGTTAGCGTTTCCCAAAGGGACATGCTAACACATTCCCTAAGCATCCACCAGTGGATCTTCCTGTATAATATTTTTCATTCCTTCCCTTTTCTATACTCTGTCTGTCAGAGTACTATGTCGACGCCCTTGGATACAATCATCCATATCACTCAGGGAAAGAACCTTATCCGCCCACTTGTGGAAAGAGCCGCATCCAAATCACTCGTGGGGGCAACCGCATCCATCGGTTCAACTACACACACATCTCACAGCCTACGCACCGCTGCTACGGAAGCCCAGAGCGAAGAACAGTCTGTCAGATTGTCAGTGCCAGGGAGAGAGGAAAAGGCTGATGCCTGCTGAACATCAGCGCTTCGGACCAATGGGAGCATCACAAGCGCCACCCCCCGCCCCTCCTTCTCCGTCTCTCCCCGGTGTTGACAAACAAAAGACACCGCCGGGTTTTCATCAAAACGAGCGTTCTAATGCTCACGCATTAACAAGTTCTCAAGCAACGTATGTATGTCACATAATAAACTTGTTCTGAAAACAAAAAAGTTTTTTTAGCATAATATTGTGAGCTACGTTTTAAGTTGGAAGCAATTCTGAAAAATGCTTTCATTTGGGACATCGACCCCAATGTGTGGAAGCGTGTTTTGGGGTAGCTCAAATGAGTTTCGTGGAGTAATATTGTGCTAAAGTATCTTTTTTTGGGTGGGGAAAAGTTCACTTGGTGACACTGGCTGTCGTGTCCAGGCACATGAAAACCATGTTCATTGGGAGTTTAATGTCCCTTTAAATGGGCCTCAGCACTTGTGATGTGCAAAGTTGAAGCAGCCCTTATATTCATATGCTTACTTAAAGTTATATAAAAGGAATGAACTGAGCCTGAATGCTAAGAGCCCAATTACATACAAATAGGGCTCCATGTTTTCGGTGTTTATTTTTTCTTCTCGAATTTTGGGGTATTTTTTGTTTTCGGGGTTTAATTTACCCCACAATGTCTCTGTTTTTTGTAAATTGGTTTAAGTCACAAGCAATTTACACAAAAAACAGAATCTGTAGGAAAAAATTAACTCGCAAAATAAAATACCCCCAAATTAAAAAAAAAAAAAACAGAAAACACAGAATTTTACATACAAGCTACGAGACCAGACAATTCGACTTAATTAACAAAATAGAGAGCGAAGAAAGAGAAGAGTAAAATTCAAGAAGTCAGGTATAGGTAGCTTGCAAAATTTAAAATAAGGAAGGTTTTTTTTTATATTTTTTTTAGTGTTCCTACTTAGAAGTTTACTACTATAAATGTATTAATACCCATGCCCCCCACCCCCCCTGCAAGCTATAGAAGGCCTTTAAGGAAACATGAATAAATAAATAAATAAAGTATATTTATATTTGACAATTTGGAGGGGAGCTCATTGCATTCCGAGGTCAGAACAGGTCTGTGCAAAAACAAAGGAGCACAACATACTAATAGTAAGGCGAAATAAGAAGAAAAATAACACTGCAGCACAAGCCAAAAAATACTGAAGCGACTGAACGTGGGGTTCTGAAGTGTGAAGGGCTTAATCCTATGCTCCCACGCAAAAGACCAAGAGGCATAGCAGCTAGGAGTATTTTAAATTTTTAGGTGGTGTGACCATAAAACGATGAATTTTCTAAAAAACATAAAGAGAGGGCTGCGAATGAAGAGAAATTAAAAAATGACACAAGCTCGATCATACTGACAATTAGGACAGGGGAGCACGGAATGTGTTGAGTGCATAGGCTACCACTTCACAGAACAACCTCCCAGAAATCGACGTCCCGTGACTTCAGGTAATGTGACGTGGTCACGTCACATCAATTATCTTGCTAAATTTTGCAGGGAAATTGACGTCACGTGACATCACTTTCCCGAAAAAATTTGGCGAGGAAAAGGGACGTCCCGCGACTTGAGGTCGCCCCCAAATTGAACGGGGAAATTAGCGTAATGGTTCTTCGTGGCCATTTTCTCGTGGAATATGTTCGATAAAACACATCATGAGTTAATATATATACCATGCAAGTAATGGCCCTTCTTGAGATTCACAAGGAAGAAAGAAATGTCCCTTCTTGAGATTTACAAGGAAGAAAGAGGCTAAAGCAGAAACACCAACTCTGCCACATAGGCCAGGTGGTTCAAGCTACCACAAACGTCGCAGAAGAGATACGTGCCATACGTCCACTCGTCGGGCAGTGCTCACCCAGGTTTGCGCGCTTCTCGACGTACGTCATGACGTCCTTGGCATACTTTGACCAGATCTTGGCTCGCCTCAAGGAGAACTCCACCCCTTCACTGAGCCTCATGAGCTTGGCGTCCACTTCCTGCCCCGTGAGCGCTGAAGATGCTGAAAGTTTCGAGGGCGGATCAGGGGCGGATTTATAGGTCAGGCTTGGGGGGTTTGGCTGTATGTATGTATGTATGTATGTATGTATGAGAATTTGGCTGTATGTATGTATGTATGTATGTGGGTGTGTGTGTGTATGTGTGTGTGTCTGTATGAAAGGGGGGGGTCTGCAGAGAAATTTGACGTCGCGGACAAAGATGCCACGGACGAAGCGTTGCCCTAGTCTATTTTGTTGACCTAATAATTGCTAACTAAGCATTTCTTCTTAAGAAAGCTAGTGTTAGTATGTCGTTACCTCCATAAAAAAATGTCGCCCAGGCTTAAAGGGGCGGTGCAATGATTTTAACACTGAACGAATGTGCAGCTTGTATTTTTTATATTGTTTACTTCGGCATAAGTAAGAGAAAAAGTGCCACCATACCCCAAAATACCTCTATTTCGCTGCGTAATCGTAAAATAAAAAACACTTTTTTTCCCAACCCCTCGGCCACATGGTGGCCGCAAATGGAACCTGTGGTGTGACGTCATTCGGAGTGGTTTTTGTAAGTGATAGTGTTAGGCAATTGTAAGCTTGATTTAAGGTTAAGTTTAAAAAATCTTGTTGTTTAGGCATGCAGAAACGCTTCAAAAGCATAATATTGCCGCTAAAAGGGTATGAATTATTTGTGGCGCCATCTACCGCAAGTCAACAAAACCTGCCGTCGCCGTCATTTGTCGACGCCCGAGGCGCCTACGGCGGCTACACAAGCAACCCGGACGTTTTGTCTTTCCCTCGCTCGACGGAGTGCGTTGGTCGTGGTCTGTAGTATCGTGGTATCGTTATTGTTCCTGGTGTCTCGACCTCAACTTCGACTTCGACTGCCCGCCGCGTCGCAAGCATCTTGCGCTCGACGTCGCTCAGGCCGTCCGCCCATGCCGCCATGTTAGTCGGGAATCGGCGGGAGAGCGGCGAGCCTGGCGAGCCGGCGAGCGCTGGGGAAACTGAAGCCAGAAGAACCCAACCGGAAACGAACGCCACTTCGAATGACGTCACAGGCGAAGCTGGTGCCGCTTCAATGTTGAGTTGAGGGGTGCCAGAGATACCAATTTCTTTTATTTTTTTTAATGAAAACTAGGGCAAGCAGGAAAGAATAGCTTTCGGTCCTTCGTTTTATATGTGGCCGGGATCAATTCCTGCAATTAATTAGCCAAAGTCCGCAAATTGTTGCACCGCCCCTTTAAGGGAGTGAAAGAGGTTGAAAGAGCTATACTAAATCTGCGCCACTCACAGTATGTGTGCCCCGTCGTCCTGTCCGGAGACAGAAGGTTCTCGCAGCTCTGAAAGTGTGAGGACACTGTAAGCCAGACGGCCCCAACCGTCCAGAAAACAAGCGATCTTCAAGCCGGGGGAGAAACTGGGGGAAGGAGAACCCAAAGCCAACGCACCCTGGTCTTGCCCATAGCGCTCGTGCCCAAGTCCAGATCACCCATCAGATACTCAGACACCCTGGGAGAGTGTGCAGAGGACACAAAACCACCAGTCACCCACGAGAGCCCGAGGCGCCGTCGAACTCCGCATGCAAAGCAAGGAGCATAAAAGCGTGCAAGGAGCTATGGCCAGTGCCTGCCTCTAAATACAGTCTCTCAGCTTCTGGCTTGCACTGCAGACGCGTTCCAGACACCGTAACTTAAAGGAGCGCCCACGCCAATAAACGTGCGGTAAGCGTATTGTCTCGACAAACTGGCGGAACCAAACAGGCCTGAGAAATTGGATCGAGTGCTCCGAGTTGATCTGATTTCATTCAGAGTGCTATCTCAGTGTATGTTAGTACCTTGAAACTGATATTGCAGTTGGCTCTCAGTAATTCGAGGTCACTTTATTCAAATTTTTGCTTGTTCGAAGCAGAGGCACGGCCCTGGCAATCGTAACGAGTAGTCTATGGACTACTCGTATGTACGATTGAAAAAAATACAAGCGGTAATGCGAAGTTCAACGCCGGGGTTTGGCTCATTCGAAGGATTTGTCTGTGAGCTCAAGAGGTCCGGTAAATCTGGGAGAGTAAGAAAGCCTCGTGATTATACTGGCCAAGCTTAAATGCGCGCTATTACATCTATCGTGCGCACTTTATCACTTTTTATTGACTGTTTGCGCAGTTGTGAAAAGAAGAAACGAGTGTGGCTAAGCTGTCGAGTGGTCAATTTAGCTAAGTGGCCAGGCCAAGCCATGGGAATGTGCATCGCGGTGCCATCCCTACGTTACGGAAGCGATCAGGAATGTGACCGTAACTGGTCTCAAGGTTGGTCTCGAAGAATTACTTGGGCCCCAGAGGTGTTCCGTCCTTTGAATTAACAATTTGAAGGAAAAGAATTCTTTACAATATTGATGTCAACAACGCCTATATGGTTCGTTTTCGGACAGGTAAATTGTGTGAGCAGTTAGATTCAGGAAGCGTCACTTTCCATGTCGAATGCCGCCCATGCGGAAATCGCGTCTTGCATTGGGCGTCATAGAAAACTTTTTTTTCGATAATACAAACGTCAAAGGCGCTTAAAAAAGGCTCGCAATATGCAGAGCTTAGTTAGAGAGGCGTGTCTCCAACAGCAGAGGTTTCATCCGTCTTTGTGTTTATACTTTTGGTAATATCTAATTGCAACTCGTGCTTGCCATAATCTTCAAAGTCAGTGCTGTAAAAAAAAAAATCTCGCGGCTTGAGTGTGTTTTTTTTAATAAGAAGTGCGCCTAATTCGAAGTCGTCCGCTGTCCCCGTGAGATTCGAATTACTGAGAGTCAGACGTGTATTGTCGGTTAAAAGAGCTAGAGCACCCCAAGCAATAAGAGCACACTTCGTGTACTCCCTATTGGCACACTCCTGTTCGTTTGCTTTAGCATGCTACTGCTTTTTTCTTTTTTTTTCTCACTAGCTTTCTTTGTTGACAAGATATGTATAGATTCCAATGTTACATTAGCCAAATAAACAATTTATTATGCCAGGTATGTCGGATATTGTAAAAGCTGAACAGCAGAAACCTGAACTGTAACTCAGAAAGGTATTTGCTACCAAACATTTCTCGAATACTACATTTTGTCGTCTTCTAACCCGAGTTTTTCTTTATGGGTGACAACATCATCTCTGTTGCAACGCTACCTGAAGAGTCAGATTCTTTACTAGGTAGTTAAACAAAGACCAAACATGTTAAGGACCTCGCGCTCACACCACTTGGATGTGTCCCCCCTTGGAACTTTTCACGAGCATGCTCGATTCACCAGCACATTTTGACTGAAACGCCCTCAGAGCTCTTGTACAGGTAAAAACACCTGTGCTTCAATACCATTTAAACAAACAATTTGACCCTCTGATATGTGCCTAAGCACCAGATGATCGTCGAGTAGCCAGAGCCAACTGACCTGCTGCTAAATGCCAGAGCCAGCTGGTCCACTGCCTCGAAGAAAGACTCGCTCTGGCTTGCCTTATCCTCACTGTAGTCATGCCCTGAAGGAAGAAACCACAAAGGACCGATCACACTCTACAACTGAGCCCACAGATGCTGTGATGAGTCACAGGCAAGATATCCAACAGGGGCCATGTTTGCCGGACCTTCTTATCCGAGAAGTACAAGACACGCTCATCGAAACAACACATGGAAGTGACAGGGGAGCGATAAGGTCTGTATACAAGGGATTGTGACGCCGTGGCTCATATTTATCACCTGCCTTATATCAGTTTCCCTGGTAAGAACGGATAGTGTGCAAAAATATTTGCATATCATACAGCAACAGATGCAAGCCAGTAAAGCACCTAAAAAATGAAAATGCGCTACGAGCTAGGTTCACTGAAATTAGAAACCTTCGCAATTTTCGTTTTTTGCCAGCGAACCTTAGAAAAAATTCCCCGGTGCATAGGTGCGCTAAGCCGCATATTCCCTGTGGAACTACATGTGGGTGGAACAGGAAATGAGAGGGGGGTGGGGGGAGGGGGGGCTGATATATGAGAGGCTGCGACCTGATGTCACGTGACCTGAACAACAATTCAGTTTCCCTGCTGAATTTCACACGAATTTCGATATCACGTGACCCGCTAAATTTAGCAGGGAAACTAAATTTCCGTATAAATCATTTCACGGGATGTTGAGTCACATGACATCAATCTCCTTGCTAAATTTAGCGGGGACATTGAATCAGTGTATACATCGCGTAATGTCGGATCGCGTGACATCGAATGACGTCACCTGACTTATACTGAAGAGAGACATCACTTCTTAACCAAGTTTTCGTTATATTAAATCGCAACTTTCAAGTGCAAAAAAAAAAAAAGGTAATCCCACAACAAAAACAAAAAAATATATATATTGCACATGGTTGAAAAAACCCCGAGACTGCGGGTAAACGACACAACACTAAAAAGTCTCTATAGACTTTTTAGTGTTGTGTCGTTTACCCGCAGTCTCGGGGTTTTTTCAACCATGTGCAATGTACACCAGCTCGTTTGCGCCCTTACTTTTTGTATATATATATAATGGAACTTTACTAAAATATTAAGGTGGGCTAGTTGGATATGCATCTTAGAAATAAATAGCACAAAGGTCAAATACAAACTGACGGAACAAGAGCTATACCACAGAATACTGTGCATCCGCCCATTCCAGGCTAAGTGCCCATACCCAAATTTGTAAGATCTGAGAAAATATGCACAGAACATTGATACGTAAAATTGATGACCGGACAAACACCCATCCCCTACCTTTTCGCGATTATCTCTGAATTTTGAGTGGGCGCTTGCCCCGTATTTTACGGTATTAGCGCTTCCTCCGTCAGTTTTTACTTGACCTTCACGCTATTTATTTTTAAGAAGGAAAAAAAAATATGGAACTTGTTGAATATACTGATGCGACGCACTACTTAGCAAAATAAACTCTGCTTCACTCTAAGTGCAACTGCAGCCGACGACCCAACGGGGTCAATCGAGCCAAAAATGCATCGTGACGGCATTCACTGCGCTATCACCGGTTATCACGCACAGTGAGTGCTCCGTGATCCTTTTTCTGCGCAGGATTGATGTAAGGCGGTGATAGCACATGCACAACGAATGCCGTGACATTGCACTTTCAGCACTGCCTGGTTGGCTCGTCTATTTTGACGTGCGTGACGTCACTTCCATGACCAAGTTTTCGTGAGACTGACCAAGCACAAAGAAAGACGTAGTCCAACGTAAAAAAAGGATAGATGGCAGAACCATTGTGGTACTTTTAACAGCCATAGACAAGCGCAGCTTGACTGAGATGTGCACTTGGTTAGCAATTCTGAAAAGAGCACGGGCTCGTGTCTTTCGGTACCACTGTACCTTACAGCGGTAACAGAGCCAAGGCCATACTGAAACTGTGTTGCTTTGAATTATTGCTACATGAGTGAAAGAATATGAGCTGGAGCCGTGCATACATACCTTTAATTTTTCCTGAGTTTCCTGACACCTTATTTAAAGTTCAGGAAGTCGCATTTTCGAATCGTAGCAGACGCCAAAATGGCGGGGCGGAGCACACGTGCATATCGGGAAATGGAGTGCTGATACTCTAAAGGAAGTGTGTCTGGTGGCTTTAACGCGGACCAAGGTTGCATGTCGCTGCTTCTCCTGCGAGAACAATGGTCGCTTTCCGCATTACTTGAATCGAAGTGGGAGACAGCTGTGATGCTCCATACCCTATCTCACAAATATCTGCAGTAAAGACAAAGTTCTAGGCACGCGAGCCTAGCTTAGCAGTATGATTTTGTTTGTATGAGAACTTGTGCATATGAGGCACTTTCCACAGCCATGCGCTCGCGCCCATGCCTTTGTCTGCACTGCAGCAGGAAGCCCATCTGGTTTGACTGAAGGCTGAAGAAGCCCTTCTTGTCTCGCCATTCAAGCAATAAAGCACTTCAGAGGCTCGCAGACCTTGCAAACAATAATGCACAAAATAGGAAGCTTCGTGGCTCTTTGTATGTATCAATAAATACCTCAGATCTGCTAAGATAGCGCTTGATCTGCAAAAAAAACTTCATTCAGGGGCAGGGACGGTTGGGGAAATCCGGAAGCTTGGGAAATTCTTGAGGGTGCTCATGGAAACCCTTGTGAGTGCTCTGGGGAACCCTTAAGGGAGCTCTGGGGAATCTTGAAAGTAACTTTTGAGGGGAAACCTTTGAGAGTTCCCAAGGGCATCCCAGGGTTGCTAGGAACTCAGTTTGAGAACTCGTGCTCCAAGTGCACGACCCACCTTTGACGTGCTGAATGAGGGTGCCAGCGGCCACAAGCAACTCCGTCGACTGGATCGGTGGGTACTTCTCCAGGATGGAGCGCAGAATCCGCAGAACCTGACCCAGGCGTTCGTGGGCGGCAACCAGCCGTGTCTCCCGGCGCTGCTTATCTGCACCACCGGCGAAAACAACATGGCATGATCACCGGTGCTATGAAGATGTTACAACATACTGAACAGCAGTGGACACGTTCAAGCCAGTTGGCTTGTATTGTTTAAAAACACAATTAAGTAAAAATTGGGGATGAGAACAGAACAGAAACACAGATCCAGGCAATTGTGTCAGAGGTAATGGGTCTGTGATCACGTACGCGCCGACACACAGCCACAGCGGCTTCGGAGAGAAGAGAAAACATTTGACTCGAACGGCTCCGGAAAGCTTCAGGTTACGTCACCCGGCTCAGGTGCCGCTCTGTCGTTGGAGGAGGTTGCCGCATGCTTACATCAGTTATAAACAACATCCATTGCATAACTTTAAATAATATTAACACACACCACAGCGTACTACTACACATGTACACTCGCACCATGCACTCACCCCTTACACACAAAAAAGAAAGGAAAAATCAGACGGATTGTGCTGACTCACAACTCATTCTTTATCTTCTTCTCCGTCTGGAACCTACCGAATTTCCCAAATCACGCGCACCTATCTCCTAGATGCCAAGAAAATTTTTTCTTTTTCTGTCAGGTTCAAAGATGGTGTACTAATACAGTTTTAATAATTCCTGACGATCTGTTCAGCTTAAAAAATTTCCCTAGTCAGTTGATTACTGTGCCTACCTAAAATTGTACAACACTTCTTTTAGGTATGTTTAAAAAAGTGGGTGCAATTAAATGTTTGGTCACGTTTTTCAGACGGAAGAGGGTCATTCATGATTGTTATTTTGGTTTTCTAGAATGCTCAGAATGCATAATGTTTGTGCCATAAATAAAAGATTTCAAAATCTATAGGCAACAGAAAGAATAAAACAAACTCGAGACAAGGGATGACAAACATTTCTGTTTGTCGTCCCTTGTACCGAGTTTGTTTTATTCTTTCTGTTGCCAGTCAATGTTACCAACACACTCTTCAGTTAATGTGTTCAAAACCTACTTTGGTGTTTTGTTAATTTGTGCTTGGGGTTTACAGGACATTGCCATAAGGTTACACTCCTGGTGCCACTGACATCAAAAGAATACAGTGTGGTTGCAACCAAGTTGGAAAAACAGTTGATAGCAGGTTTGGGCTAACTGCGTCTTGTTCTTTCTAAAGTCATGATCCATGAAAAAGCATACCTGTTCCTTTCTCCAAGAGCATTTGTACAGTCATTTGCTGTTTGGTTACCATAAAATACCAGGCAAAATTTGAAGATAATCACGAGAAAATAGGGGATGGGCGCATGTGAGGTCAGCACTTTTACATATAATGAACTTTTTTCAGATATTTTGAATTTCGGGGGTGGGCGCTTAGTGTGGAATGGGTGGATGCACGGTATTCTATGGTATGTAAATTTCTTTATGGACTATGCCACATAGAAATCTCTAAGTCCTTTAAGACTTAATACATTTGTCCTTGAGTTGGATGTAGTAGTAACGCCTAGATTGCCCAGTTCCCAAAAAAGTTGACCTCAAAGTAGGGTGACCATAATCCTCGAAGTAGAAAACGGGACACTCGGGTTTGGCAGGTGGAAGGTGCTAAACAAAAACTGTGTAGTACCATATTCTTTTGGTTCACAAGTCGTACCATTGTATAAGACAAACTGACAAAAATCTTGGAAAAAAGAAAAGGTGACTTATATGCCGGAAAATAGGGCACATGAAATTTTTATAGGTCTTTCCAGAAGTGCTGACAAAGTTGCGCGTTTTCAAGAAGGGCTTTCTTAGTGAAGGAAATAAATTAAACAGGCTAAACAGATATAGCGTCTGAGGCGGTTCACCCCAACAGTGTCAGCGAATCCCTTCAGACGTGGCCGAATTGCGAAGACAAAAAAGAGGATACTTTGGGCTTATCTCAACATAGACAGGAGCTGGTCGCTCTTTGAAAAGAGTTTTGTCAGTACAGTGCTCACAACACTTAAATGAAACGCACAAGCTGTGTCCTTCTCACGGGAGCGCTCTCTGGCAACAGCCGAGCAACGATTTCGTGATGTAGCACTCAACACGTTAAGGCCTTGTCAGGCACTTGCGCCTTTTGCCTTAGGCCCCCTCTGCGGAACAAATACCCGCAGACACATAAAAAAGGAAAAAAAAAATCTTTAAATATTTTGCATAATTCTCCTCTGAATTCAAATGTCAGGAAGACTATCTCTATGACCTGTAAAAGTGGAATGATTGCTGGAAAATGCTTTCGCTGCAGCCAGCTCAAGACAGCCGAATGAGCGATGAATTGTAAAGAGATTGATTTATTGAATCAACGATTGTCTAATCAATTAGTTGACTGACTACCGTATTTTCCGGACAATAGTCCGCACCCGGTATATAGTCCGCAGAGGCAAATTTGGGGTCAAAAACGATAGTTTTTGCTTACGTAGTTCGCACCCGCTGCATAGTCCGCACCCAGTGCATAGTCCGCACCTGGTGCTTAGTCGACACGAAATTTTTCTCATACGCGGCACACCTTGACATATGTATGTTTTGTTAGCTCACAAAAAAGCCTTAATATACATAAATTATCAATAACATACACTTTTATTCACAAAATCCGTCCCGGCTCGTCATAATCAATGATATTGAAAAACATAATTCCTGTATAGTCCGCACGCATAGATAGTCCGCACAGCCAGAAATTTCAACTTTTAAATATGTATAGTCCGCGGACTATAGCCCGGAAAATACGGTAGTTGTTTAACTGATTGATTGAAATTGCATTTAATGTCCTGTCTGAATGTTGAAATGTAAACACTACACCAGGGTAGTGTCACCTTTCCCCCTGGCTTGATTGATTGACTGAATGATTCAATGATTAACTGACTGATTGACTGTAATTTTATTTGCCATCCTGTCTAAATGTCACGATGCCAACACTATACTCAAGTGGCCTCACTTGCACCATGGCTTGATTGACTGGTTGGTTGCTTGATTTAATGAATGACTGATAAGTTGATTAGCGTATTAAAAGATAATTTGTTTAAGTGATGAAATAATTAGAACTGATTTTGCTGTCCCATCTAAACGTTCTCACAATGTCAATCCTACACCAGGATCACGTTGCCTTTCACCTCGGCATGATTGATTGGCTGGGTGATTGATTGACAGGTTGATTGATTAACTGACTGATTGATAGATTGATTAAAATTGTGTTTAATGTCTTCTCAAAACACTATCACAATGCAAGCGCCACAGCAAAGTAGCATAACCTTTCACCTTGGCTTAGCTGGTTGGCTAAGTGTTATGAATTGATGGATTGATAGACTGTTTGATTAACAGACTGACTAATTGATTGATTGATACAATGATTAAAATTAGGGCTGGGCGTCGATTAAAAGTTTTAACCCGATTAATCGTCACCCTTTAATCGATTAATTAATCGATTAATCGGTCTCGTTTATTTCATTGCAAAATATTCAAAAAAGTATTTTTTTTTGCTGAATCTATGATAAACGGTGCAATGTACAACGTGGATTATGAATTAATCAAGATCACTATCAGAGATCTTTCACAAAATATTACGTTTGCTGCGTGAGGCAAAGATGTTCGTTGATATTCTCTAAAAAGAGCGACTTCCTTTCATTGTTCACAATAGTCTCTACTGCGCTAAACAGACACTCGAGCGACATTGAAATGGCCGGGGACTGGCGTAACCTCTGCCCTAAATATGATGCTAAAAATATATCGCCTCTATACAGTTTACCTTATTCTAAAATTTGACCTAAAGTTCGCCCTTCGTACAGGCGTACTCGTCCACGTCTGCGTTATGGAAGTGTTTAATTTTGAGTTCTTTGGTTCGTCTAAATTTTACCGATTAACCAGTTAAAAAATTTAATCGCGATTAAAGCATTAATCGATTAATCGGTAGGTTAATCGATCAATTGCCCAGCCCTAATTAAAATGTGTTTGCTGTCTTGTCTAAACATTGCCACAATGCCAACACCACATCAGAAAGCCTCACCTTGCCTCATGGCTTGACTGGCTGGGTGATTGATTGGGCTTATCAAATTAATGATTGATTGATTAGTTTACTAACTGACTGACTGAATGGTTTACTAACAGACTGACTAATTGATAGATTGATTGAAATTGTGTTTTCTGTGGTGCCTAAACGTTTTCACAACATCAACACCACACCAGAGTAGTCGACTCACCTCTCCATCTGACTTGATTGATTGGCTGGGCGATTGATTAATTGGTTAATTAACTGGCTGATATGTTGATGGAAACTGTGTTTGCCATCATGCAAAAACAATCGTCAACACCGCACCAGAGGAACCTCACCTTGCCCCTCGGCTCCGAAGACCTTGCGCAGCCTGCCGAGGGCCTCCTTGAACGCCCGCACGTCGTGGGTCAACACCAGGATGTCCTCCCTCTGGACTACACCGGGGCCAGAAGTCGCCACTGCCGACCTTCCGCCGTCCCCCGCGGCGCTGCCACTGCTGGCGCTGCTCGCGAGGCTGGTCGCGGACTGCGTTGCGGTCGCCGCCCCGGCGCCCCCGCCGCCCGGGGCCATGCCGCTCGCAGAGCTGGCGCCCGAACCGCTCCGGCTGTGCTGGTGCTGGCGGGACAACGGGGACGAGCCCGACTCGCCGGAGGCCGCCGCCGCCACCGAGGGGCTCGAGGACCCCCGTTCCTCGGGCTGGAGCGTCTGCGCGAGGTCAACGTCGTCATCAGCACGAGCTGTGCGTAAAGCAGCGTCTGCTCTGCACATTCTTCACGCTGCCAAGGAACCTGGACGACGTCATAGCCTCGCGGGGACACCAGAGCGCCAAGCTCTGATTAGAAGGGTAGCGGGTAAACGCAAATGCTAGCTGTCTTTGTCTTCGCTCACTGTTCGAAAGGGTTCGAACGCCGAACGCCCGCGCCCGGCACTGAAACGCGAGACCCCGTGCGAGGAGCAGACGACGCTGTTGTCTGCTCCGATTGGAGGGAGACAGTGGGGAGACGAAGGCATCTGTGTCTACCCACTAATCTGCCCAATCAGAGCTCGGCGATCTGACAACCCCGCCCGCTCTCGTCTCTTCCTCTCCCTCGAGATAAGCATTGTCGCACGATTGGTCGTCGTATGACGCACACTGTCGCAAATAGCCCATCGCTCCGCAAATGTCGCTTCTCCGCACGCACCAGTGCGTTGCGAGAAGCGCACTCAACGGAGCCATGAGCCAAAGGGCCAATCAAAGAGCGTAAAGAGCGCAACGTCATGGCGTGCTTTCTGCACTTGATAGGACTAGCCGGCGGAGGAGCACGCACAGAGAGACGGCGAATACAGGCTGGTCCTATCAACTGTAGAGAGCACGCCATGACGTTGTGCCTCTTTCGCTGTCTGATTGACGCTTCGGGTCATAACATCGGCCGCGCTCGGACCGAAGCTGAAACGGACTATAGCGACCAAATGTCGAGGAGTGAGAGATATTGCGACATTTCCTAAAGCCACTGACAGGATCAGTAGAAGGGCAGGGCGTCTCTTCCGGATGCTGGGCTTCCGGCGCTACAGCACGTCTTCTTTGCCTTCCATCGTGCTTTGGCTGCTCGACCGCGCTCGAGAATCACAAGGCGCCGAAGTATTATCGAAGGTAGGAAAAGCTCGCGCTGAAGGAGGGACAACTGAGAGACCTCCGGCAGTTCTCATCCCGTCAGTGACAGTAGTACAGTCAATATTCGGTAAGCAAGATCGAATCGAATAGTATGTTATTCGATTCGAGAGTTTTCTAAAATTCGAGAATGACTACCGTAACGGCACGCCAGTCGCCCGCCCGTGTTATAAGTTTTGTCGCCCAAAGGGAGAAATTAACTTTTGAAACATTCTCGTTAAATGTTGGCGAATGCAGCAGGGTGAATACTTCGAAACAGTTTGAAGCAAATTGGGCAGCAAGCACATCACTGAACAATTTGAGACCTCGTCAAATATACCTAAAGGAGATGCAATGCGACAGCAGTTGGGATAATTCAGACCTGTTCAGACAAAATTCAGACGTCAGATGCCTCAAATTTGGTTCAACATCTTAATACACAAATTCACAGGTCAAAATATGTTGTTGTTTTTTCTCGCAAAGTGATTTATCTCTATTATTTGGTCTGAGAGGATGAGAGGCTCTGCTGGCAACAACTAAAAGTTACGCCAGATGTAATGTAGGGGAGGGGGGGGGGGGGGGGGGGGGGGGGCACTGTCGCGACGGGTTAAAAAAATAAAATAATGTGATGCACAAAAAAAGAAAATTGATGTTGCAAGACGAAAAAAAAAAAAACACATACACGTAACACCATCCAATTAGAGAGCGTTGAAAAATTTGAATGTTGATTTTGGCATAACATATTCATCTGCAGCTGCCTCAACACTTATCCTGAATTCAGAGATAATATAAATAGCATGTCGAAAAAAGTAAAACCCGGGTGTTAAAAAAAAGCGTTGGGTAATAATAATAAAAGAGAAAAAGATATCGAAACTTTCGTCAAAGGTCTTATACGGACAACATCCACAAGTTACAGATCAGCATCGCAAATTATTTCCACAAACAGCGCGCGAAAATACTGCCGTCGACATTGATCGAAACCGGAAGGCACTATTAGGTTCTCGTTTCGCTTGGGCGCATTCCGAGACGTAGAGAGCGCGCGCTAAAAAACAGGACGGCAAACTACCGTTGACGCGTAACAATCTGCTTACATTCTCGCCATCTTGAGTGCGATATTCGCTCCACCAGAAGCTTTACGCAAACAACGCCGCACTTAGATACGGCCTTGTTTTACCGGAGAACTTCCTCGTTTTGCTGTTCCAGGGCCACCAAATTTACGCTTAAAATATAGTCACTGCAATCCCAATTTTATTTTATTTTTTTTGTGTGTGGGACGTTATTTTAATGTTTAGCAGGATGCAGAATAAAATTCAATATGATTTAAACCGTGATTTAAATCACACTATTTTTATTCTCTGTGTGCACTTCTTTTGTATTTAAATCCAGGAAACGCCTAATACGAAAAAAGTACAACAGATTGAACATGAGCACAAAGCCGACGACCGGCTGCGGAGCAATGCAAGCTAGTTTAACTACAATTACAATTACTATAACGTGAAAAGTAATTCATTACAATTATAAATTTCTTTTACAGGGTAATGAAATTACCTTACAATTACTTATTTCGGCAAGCGACTGAAGTTGGGACATATAGCTTTAAACGAATTGTTGAAAAATTCAATGCTTTTGTCCATTCCTTGCCCTTATGTTTGAAAAGACTTAAGCATCGCTGCATAAATGTCACGTATTGGACTTTCCTTTTGTGAATTTTGTTAAATTAACGATATAACTTGACAGTCTGGGGCAATGAAGTCCTGCGTTCTTATATTTTTCAATAAATAATAATGAATTCGTTCATTTACTCCAAGACGCTCGATCGCGAAAGTACTTGTTTTAGCCAGGCAAATGAAAATGCTACAATATGTATCATCTGAATATTTTAATGGTGTTAATAAAAAAATGCAATCCACGCGCGCTGGTATACGACCACATTCACATACAAACGTTTCATGTTGTTTTAAATTATTTACACTGAGTTGAAACTATAATGGCTCAGAAATAAATAAGAACCGAATCTGGTTCTTATATATTCAACGGTGACAATATTCACAGGTGCGAGTTCTCTCTCCAAAATGCTTATGCAAATACTATCCGAAGAAAAACCAACAAGAACTAAACTTGAAAAGAATACAGAGAAACAAATATGGGGCAGATACTAGAAAAGGGACGTAACAAACTGGCAAAAAAAAAAAACAATACTTTATAGCAAAATAAAATTCGTAACCTCGGCTGAAAGCTGAAGCTCAATTTTGTTTCTTTCAATATTTTGGCGTCTTTACGCTATTGTTTTCTGCTCGCATCGCAGGCGGCGGCTTACGGCGCTCTTGAGGTAGGCTCCAAAGAGGATTGTCTCTCAGCCTGCAGTGTACGCAACAAACAACGCGACGATGTTTTTTGTAGCGCGTGTATGTGAGTGTGTGTCTATGTGGTGGCGAGTGTGTCACCGAGCGCTAAGCCGCTCGTGAGAGCGCTGAGGCTTTCAGAGAGGTGCCGTCGGCGCCGCAGTCTTGCAGAAGTAGTTGTACCTGAGCCTAAAATTCTGCAATTACTGACGCTAGAAAGTAATTAAATTACTGTAATTGAATTACTACCCAAGTATGCGGTCCCTGTTAACAGATTTACACCAAAAAGGGTGTTTTGAGATTCCTATAACGCGTGCACACGCACACACGCGCACGTACACACACCTCAAGAGAGAACGCAGAAGCACCCATGTCAGGGGTGTTTCTGAGTTCTTTACACCTCTTGGGTCCACATTTGAGCTGCAGAACACGGGTAAGGAAGGATGCTCATGTTTATCAAATTCAGCGATAATCTGTGATGAAGTCCTTATGCTCCGCTTCGTGCATACAAAACGCAATTAAAAAAAAAATTCAGAGACACATTTTGTAGCGTAAAAAGTAGAGAGATGCGCGCAACAGTCGAAGGCAGAGACCTTTACGTGTCATTGTGCCAAAGGCCGTCGTTTTGTTAACATTTAAAACTGCAATACATTTTTTTTCTACGACGTTTACGAGCACATTGGCGATTTTAGTCAAACTCGGCAAATCTGGAACAGAGACCTTCGAAATGATTCGGCAGGCTTATGGCGAAAAAGCTGCGAGGAGTGCGCGTAGTGTTCTGAGTGGCATTCGCGCGCTTCAAGAATGGCAGAACATCACTGAAAGACAGAGAGAGGTCGGGGAAAGTCTCCCCCTCTCTTCGTCTTCCAGTGATGTTCTCTCTCTACACAACAAAATTAATCTCGTAATGTGAACGCCGCGTCGTACAAAGGAAATACACTTTAAAAAAAGGGTGTAAAAGGGTGTATTGTTACACCTTTTATCCCATATAATAAACCCCAAAGCTTCGATTCGACGTACAACGCCCTACAGTCGAACAGACGGCCCCAAATTTCACGAGAGGCTTGATAGCCGTGCGGTACAACTGATTAAAATAGCTAATGTATGTGTTACTGATTACCAAAAAAAAAATCGGGGCTTGTTTGTTTTTACTGTAAAAACTCGGTGTTTTCTTTATGTGGTCTTTGATACGTACTTTAGCTGTTTAAAAAAGTTGTAGAACACGGTTATCAAGCCCCTCGTAAAATTGGGGGCCGTCTGTTCGACTGTAGGGCGCTGTACGTCGAAATGAAGTTTTGGGGTGTAGTATGTGGGACAAAGGGTGTAACGATACACCCTTTTTTTTAAAAGAGTGTACATAGCGGGTGCATGATTCAGAAATCACGTGACCATGTCAATTGAAGCTAATGGTACCGTTTCGAAAACCACCCTGCAGTAAGCGTATTCGGAAAAGCTTGTGAAGTAAGCCAACAGGTCAGCTTCGGCAGTCTGATTGGCCCGTTTTCGATGACGTCACATCCCCTGGTTTACGGGGGTGAAAGAGAGGAGGGATTAGGTAAACGCGCTTCAGTGATCCACGCGCGCTAGCCTTTAGCCAACTCCAGATTTGCTCTCGCTTACCGGGTATGCAAATCTGACGGTCACCTAAAGGTGTGAATCGCTATACTTCGTTTCAGCTTTGGTCCAGACGCAGCCGATGCTACAAGCGCGAGCGTCTGGCCCAGAACAGTGCTTGC